TGAGGGTCGGAGGGCAGTGGGCAGATTCAAGAGTTGCGGGACGAAAGGAACTTGAACCCATCCCAACCCCAAACCAGGTTCAAGGTGGAAGGGACCAAAGGAACTTGAGCGAGAAGAACCCCATCCCAACTCCAACCCCCGTCCGGTTCCTGCGCTTGTTCGCGCTTTAGTTGGTGAAAGGTGGTTGGGTGTTCGATTTTCGCCGACGAACAGTTCGTCACTTTTGGATCTCCAGTTGGAGGCTTCCGTTGCGCAGAAGAGGGTGGCCCCCCCCACCTGTCCAGGTCGGTTTGAAGGGAGACCAAAAAGAAAGGAGCCTCTGATAGCCAAGTTGCTGTTTTGTCCAATCACATGTTGCTGGTTTTCGGGGTAAAGTAGATGGAAAAAAGCGATCGCAACGGGCGATCCAGGAACCGATGTTTTGGGAGGGGAGGCAGTGAAGGAGTTGATATGAAGGTGGTTTACAACAATACAAACTGGACATATTATCATAGAGAAAATGGACCCAACAATCAAAAAAGCAAAAAAACAAAACTATGTTTTGGGGGTCCCACTAAAAGTTAGCCATTTTTCGCCATCTGAACAGCGGACGGAGGTCGCCGTTTTTTTTCGGCGAAGCAAAGCATGGCCTCAGGCGGAGCTCTTCGAGGCCTGGCTGCCGGACGCGCGGATCCGGACCTGCGTCTCCCGGAACGCCTTTGAGATCTCCTGGGAGGAGAACGGGCAGATCTGGCTCACCGCGCGCCGGCGGAGTGAGAAATGCTGTGGTCAAAAGCAAGACCAATAAGATCCAATTTTAGGGTAAGTAAATTCACCACCCATTTTAGGCTCTATTTTAGTGGGGATTGGGATGTTCACTGGAAGGTACGGGATTTTGAGTCTTTTTTCTTGGAAACCACCTCAACAGTGATTGGTGGACATGAATCCCCCGTCAAATGATGTCCACCAAAGGGCCCCCTTACTAAAATTTATACCCAAATGGCAGAAGAGTTTTTGAAGGGCTTGTGGAGGGGGGGACGCCTTGGGTTGGTTTGGGTTGAGTTGGTTGGGCTGGGTTGGGTTGGGTTGATTGGTTTGGTTTGGCTGGTTTGTTCTTGTTTTTGGTTGGTTTTTGTTTGGTTTGGTTTGGCTTGCCTTGGCTTGGTTTGGTTTTTGTTGGTCGTGTTTGGTTTGGTTTGGTTTTTGTTTGGTTTGGTTTGGTTTGGTCGGAAACCAGCCAAACCAGCTGTGGGGGAGTGGGAAGCAAGTCATTTTGCCCGTTGCTCATAGTATGGTTACTCTCCTGCAGATGAACATGGGACACAAAAGAAGAGGTCCCCAAAGAGATTCCTGCAACTGCAAACAGCAAAACGACGTCATTCACTCCCGAACATGAGGCGTCAAGTAAAGGACCTTCATGATAGGACGCTGGATGACGCTGGCATGCCCAGTGTTTCACACATGCAGTCCTTGCAAGGATAGGAGTCTGCAAAGAAGATGCTGTATGATGTCCTCAGTGAAATGCTGATTTGAAGGTGAGTCTGTGTTGGGATAGGGGGACTCATCCTTTTTCGTTTGATGAGCCTTTTCACATTTATATCCAACAGAACGAAAGGGGGATATCATTTTTAGTGTTCTTCTTGGCTTGCTACTAGTCGGGCTTTCCCGAACAAAAGAGCACTGAACCTCAAACCAGCGAAAACCTCCGGATTTTTGGCGCCCTTCCGGATTTTTTACGCCTTGCTTCGCGTTTTTTTGCTTTTTCTGCTGACCTCCGCCTCATTTGCCGGGGGGCGACCGGGCGACCGGGCGACCAGACCGGTGGCCGAGGGCCGAGAGCCATCGATCTAAGATAAGGCCCAGGGCAGCGGCCCGGTGTCCCTGGACGGCCAGCTGGTGACCCCGAAGACGACCTACCCGCTGCGCCAGGGCTCCGAGATCGGGCTCCTGTACGGGAAGCAGCTCTTGATCAAGTTCCGGCTGGAAGTGCCCGCCAAGAGCCAGGCACAGCTGGCGCGTTTGCGTGTCTTTTTTTTTCTCCCCTTTTGTTTGGTCTTTTTTATTTTCTCCCCTTGTTTCTTCTTCTTCTGTTTTCCCCTTTTCTCCCCGGTTTTTGGATGGGAAGAGGGAGCTGGGCCGACTTTGTTGGGAAAGACATGTGTTTTTTTGCTTTGTTCTGTGTCAAGGGAACCGCAGCGTTCTTTTGGTGGATTTCCACATTCGAGGGCTACAGCAAGGAAGCCCAGTGTTGCCACTTCGCTTCGGGTCTCGTTTTGGTCTCCCGGCTCTGTCCTTTGGTCTCCTTTCCGGCAGGTGGTGAGAAGCTACACGGGCTCGGTGGTATCCACCACTGACAGTCGGGTCATGGTGGCCCCAGCTTCGGGCGCCGCTAAGACGCTGTCCAGCCCCTACGCCTACTCGGCGCGGGGCACGCGGCGCACGCGGGAGCGGAGCGTGGGAGCGCCCTGGGCAGAGGTCTCAGTGAAGGAGGGGGAGGAAGGGGAAATCGCCCTACGTTGTTTCATTGCTTCAAGGATATGTGAAGATGTTTTTCCCTGTTGTTGTTCATGGGAATCTACCACAGGAAAATACGGGATTTGAAATTAGCTTGAGCACATTGAGGGTTGCAAGTTTTGAAAGGAAACCGAAGAAGGACTCCACTTTCTCGGGTTGACTCAAAGGGAACCCCCCCCTCTCACCTCTATGTGTGACAGATCCGCCCTCCGAGGCATCTTCGTTGTTTTTTTTTTTTCTTTAATGGTTTTTAGAAATCATTTCCGATTTGGTTTCCTTTATTCGCTGCCCTCCCCATCCCCTCATTCCCTGAGCACTGCCAACTATCCCCCGACAATCCCCAGCTTCATTCCCTCATTCCCTGAGCACCTCGGCCAGAAATATGTGTGTGTTTTTTTGGTTGCAGAAAGGAGGCGGGTGACCTGGGCAACGTGAGCACCCCCCCGGTGGTGTGCCTGGAGATGTGGGGTGAGTCAGTGGAGAACAGCATTGGGCCGGTGTCCTTGGCTGGTAAGCCCCTTCTGGTGGGCTCCAGGCAGGGCGATGGGTGGGGTATGGCGGGTGGCAGGCCTAGGGGGATGTAGGCGTGCGTGTGTGTGTGTGTGTGTGTGTGTGTGTGTGTGTGTGTGTGTGTGTGTCTTGTCTTTAAAGGGTCCCGAGCCTCACCAAAAGACACAGACGCTTCATATGATGCCATGGTGAAAAGACTGCTTTGCTTGGGGTTAGCAGGGATGGTCATGGGTAAGTATTTAGAGGACCACGGCCCAATCGGCCAGAGAAACAGGGAGTCTTGACCCATGGCTATACTTGCTGGCGCTCAGCAAATGAGAAATGGACTGGGCCTAAACTCTCCAACCGGTTTCTTTCTTCGGACCCCTCGCGCCGATCGCGGAAGTTTTTACCGACATGGCTCAATTTTTTTTCTAAGGACACCCCCAGCAAGGGATGGTTTTTCTTGGGGCTCCCTCCATTTCTGCCTCCCCTCTCGCACCCAGCAAATGGCTGCTTGCTTTGGTTCGACCGCCAGGCACCAGCCCTACTTGGTGAACGAGGTCGCCATGAAGGGCTTGGCCAACCTGGTGGACCGGGACCACTTCTGCATCGCCGCGGAGGGGGGCGTCTTCTGGCTGCTGTGCTTGACCTCCAAGGGCCTGTGGCGGGTCAGGCGAGGGATTGCTCGAGGGATGGCTCGAGGGATGGCTCGAGGGATTGCCCCGGAAAATGCCCACTGAAGGCCCCAAAAGTGGGGTCCGAATAGGAAGCCCGTTCCAACTTGAGAATTTTCACAAAAGGTGGGCGAACACGCTAGTCAATTCATCACTTCAGGGGCCACGGGTCAATTGATGAACTTTCGGGTGAATTGACCTGACCTCAGGGAAAACACGGAGCCCCAGCGCCTGATCCTGGACGACTTGGCGTCTCTGCAGCACGGGGACCTCATCGTGCCGCGCTTGGGGGCGGACGTCACGGTGGAGCAGTGCTCCAGGACTCTGTCCTGGCACTTCCTGGTGCTCCTGGAGCCCAGCTGAGGCGCCCGAGGCAAAAAAAAAGACCGGGGAGCCTTGACTATGGGGTTGGATCTTTAGACTTTCACTTTTTGGTTGAAATCAAGTTGGGTTTTCAATCTAACCCCCCCAAAAAGTGATTCACTTTTGCCGCGGGGTCAGCAGCAACCAAGGAGCTGCAGAAGAGAGCGAGCGGAGCGCGCCCAAAGGCGGCTGCACGCAGGGGATAATCAGACCCAACGTCTCACCCAATTGGAATTCTTATGCTCCGTGGGCGCCCAAGGCAGTCCTTTCACAAGCAGCGGAGTGTTTTTGGACACTTGCGCTGGAGTCTGTGACCCACGTTCATGTGAGTGGTCATTCAGAGTGAAAGTGGGGCTTGAGTGTCTCCAGTTCTGCATTTTCCTGGCTAAGCACAAATTGAGCATTGTTGTTGTGTTGTGGCATTGCTCCTGCCTAGGCAAAGATCTTAGATCCGCACAATTCATTCATAGTTACCGACCCAGCGAGGGGAAATTCATTCGAAATGCAGCCGGCGGACAGGGTTGACAAAATGCCTGCAGCCTGCGCTGCTTCCATCATGGAAGTCTCACTGTTGGCGTGAGGGTTCATTTTGGTCCTATTCGCTCATTTGGTCCTAGTCTCTTTTTGAGGCCATGGTTTTCAGCCCGCCCCCCCCTCATTTCAGTAGTTACAAGCCTGGCCAAATCATTTTGGTCCTAGTCACGCAACCTGCTAAAACGAGCAGACACTTGAAATTGGGACCGAAACGGATTCCAAAAACGAGGACCGCAACGAGACGCATGCTAGGATTCCGCAACAATCTGAACACAACGATGTTTCCGGGGGGGGGGGGGGAAACAAAAAAAACGACTGGACTGATACGAGCTGCGCCTTTTTTTTTGTTCGAACCGAGAAAAAAAGAAAAGCAAACAAAACCAACAACAACGACGCCATTTTCCGCGTTTTCGCGCCGTTTCGCCCCGAAGAAGTCGGCGGCAGGGCTCCTGCCTGGCGCTGAACGTGGGCTTTCAGGGCCTGGGCATGGCGGTGAAGGTGCTGGCGCAGGCCAGGGGGATGGGCTGACCGGAGGCCGAAGGCGGTTTTCTTGGGCTGGGGGAAAATGAAAAAGCTTCGGGTGGGGCGTTTCTTTTTTTTTGGGGGGAAGGGCGCGGTTCATTGAGGGGGGCGAATGGTGGCGCATTTGCTCTCGTTGGCGGGCTTTGGTTGGGGCGCGGCTCAACGTGTTGGTTTTGGGAAGGCAAGTTTGGTTGTGAGTGGGGCGACTCTTCACAGATGTAGACTCCAGACCAAGAGTAGCGGAAATGCGAGTTGATGAGAGGTTGAAAAGGGAGCCTCACACAAGTGCAAGAGCTTTTGGCTGCCCACCAAGACGTGCGCGTCCTTTTGGTGTGATGTCATTAAGCCATCTGAAGCCAAACCTCACCGTGATGGCAAGTGGGTTTGGTGTTTGGGAAGACAGGGAGGCGGACCAAAAAAGACTTTTTCCAACCAGTTTGGCCAAAAAGTACCACCAACAGGAAGACCCCCCCGACATTTTTGGCCAAAAAGGACCACCAACAGGAAGACCCCCCCCCCATTTTGTTTTGCGTAGGGTCCGCTTCCAAAAATAATAACAATATATATATATATGGGGGTTGATCAAAAGGTCCTTGCACGGAGTTGTGTATTCGGTGACCATTCGTCTTCGCTTAAAATCCCTCCGCGAAAGATCGGCGATGGAGTTCGCGAAAGAAACCCATTTTTTCGCGAAAGATTCCGCGTTGGTTTCTTGGAGGCATGCCTGTGCACTTACATATTTGCAGACCCCGCTCCCTTGTAGATAGGGTGCATTATTGATTCCCTGCCTGTGTTGAGAATGGTGCAAATCAATAACGTTGGCAGGGCTATTTTGGAGCAAGTTTCGCGAAAGATCCGCGAAAGACCGGCGAAAGGCCAAGGAACTTGTCGCAAGGTTCCGCACATCGACGGCAAGCGCCAGTGGCAAGGGCGAATGACGGTGACTGCTTGCACTTCACACTACGCACTGCGCGCAAGTGAACTGCGGCTACCGTGTTTGCAAGCATAGCTGCAGCAGCCACAACGGCTCCAGAGCGCACGCTGCAAACAAAAGGGCGTGGCGATGGAGTCGCGGAAGATTCGCGAAAGCAACTTTTTTTTCTCGCGAAGAGGACGTGTTCCGGAAACAGGAGTATTGCTCAACTCCCATATATATATATATATATGTAGATATTTGTTAAGTAAAATAAATAGAGCAAATAAACAACTCAAAAGGGACGGGCCTTCCGACGGTTTAGGCCCTGGGCGGCCCGCAGACCTTGGAGCTGGACATCAGCGGCAACTGCCTGGGCCCAGAGGGCGCCAAGGCGCGAGGAGAAATCCGCCGGCGTGTCGCGCGCTTCTTCCCGAGGGCGGAACTCGTCTTCCGGTTTTCAATCCCCACCTTTTGGGGGTGTGTCGAACTCAAAAAGAACTCCCCGAGAAAAAGAAGAGAGAGACAGAGGCGCGTTTTTGTTTTTTTGTTTTTTTTCCCCACATCTTTGTGTGGGGTTCTTACTTTTTCCGCTCGTCGTCCGCGCGCCGCGTCTCCTCCTCCTTCTCCCGCTCGTCTCCGTCTCACTCACTCACTCACTCACTCACTCACTCACTCACTCTCACTCACTCACTTCACTCACTCACTCAACTCACACTCACTCACTCACACTCACTCACACTCACTCACTCACACTCACTCACTCACTCACTCACTCACTCACTCACGCTCACTCACACTCACTCACTCACACTCACTCTCATTCACTCACTCTCATTCACTCACTCACTCACTCACTCGCTCACTCACTCACTCACACTCGCTGACTCACGGCAGCTGTCTAGAGGGACAGGATGTTGTCGCGCGCGCGGCGGGGGGCGTGCGAAATCGTGGCAGGCGCAGCACTTTGGCGATGCCGTTGCGAAATCGTGGCAGGCGCAGCACTTTGGCGATGCCGTTGCCGAAGTCGTGGCAGGCGCAGCATTCTGTGCATCTGGGTGTGTGTTTGTGTGGCAGGGGTCGCATTCGGCAGCTGTCTAGAGGGAGAGGATGTTGTCGCGCGCGCGGCGGGGGGCGTGCGAAATCGGCACTTTGGCGATGCCGTTGCGAAATCGTGGCAGGCGCAGCACTTTGGCGATGCCGTTGCCGAAGTCGTGGCAGGCGCAGCATTCTGTGCATCTGGGTGTGTGTTTGTGTGGCAGGGGTCGCATTCGGCAGCTGTCTAGAGGGACAGGATGTTGTCGCGCGCGCGGCGGGGGGCGTGCGAAATCGTGGCAGGCGCAGCACTTTGGCGATGCCGTTGCGAAATCGTGGCAGGCGCAGCACTTTGGCGATGCCGTTGCCGAAGTCGTGGCAGGCGCAGCATTCTGTGCATCTGGGTGTGTGTTTGTGTGGCAGGGGTCGCATTCGGCAGCTGTCTAGAGGGACAGGATGTTGTCGCGCGCGCGGCGGGGGGCGTGCGAAATCGTGGCAGGCGCAGCACTTTGGCGATGCCGTTGCGAAATCGTGGCAGGCGCAGCACTTTGGCGATGCCGTTGCCGAAGTCGTGGCAGGCGCAGCATTCTGTGCATCTGGGTGTGTGTTTGTGTGGCAGGGGTCGCATTCGGCAGCTGTCTAGAGGGACAGGATGTTGTCGCGCGCGCGGCGGGGGGCGTGCGAAATCGTGGCAGGCGCAGCACTTTGGCGATGCCGTTGCGAAATCGTGGCAGGCGCAGCACTTTGGCGATGCCGTTGCCGAAGTCGTGGCAGGCGCAGCATTCTGTGCATCTGGGTGTGTGTTTGTGTGGCAGGGGTCGCATTCGGCAGCTGTCTAGAGGGACAGGATGTTGTCGCGCGCGCGGCGGGGGGCGTGCGAAATCGTGGCAGGCGCAGCACTTTGGCGATGCCGTTGCGAAATCGTGGCAGGCGCAGCACTTTGGCGATGCCGTTGCCGAAGTCGTGGCAGGCGCAGCATTCTGTGCATCTGGGTGTGTGTTTGTGTGGCAGGGGTCGCATTCGGCAGCTGTCTAGAGGGACAGGATGTTGTCGCGCGCGCGGCGGGGGGCGTGCGAAATCGTGGCAGGCGCAGCACTTTGGCGATGCCGTTGCGAAATCGTGGCAGGCGCAGCACTTTGGCGATGCCGTTGCCGAAGTCGTGGCAGGCGCAGCATTCTGTGCATCTGGGTGTGTGTTTGTGTGGCAGGGGTCGCATTCGGCAGCTGTCTAGAGGGACAGGATGTTGTCGCGCGCGCGGCGGGGGGCGTGCGAAATCGTGGCAGGCGCAGCACTTTGGCGATGCCGTTGCGAAATCGTGGCAGGCGCAGCACTTTGGCGATGCCGTTGCCGAAGTCGTGGCAGGCGCAGCATTCTGTGCATCTGGGTGTGTGTTTGTGTGGCAGGGGTCGCATTCGGCAGCTGTCTAGAGGGACAGGATGTTGTCGCGCGCGCGGCGGGGGGCGTGCGAAATCGTGGCAGGCGCAGCACTTTGGCGATGCCGTTGCGAAATCGTGGCAGGCGCAGCACTTTGGCGATGCCGTTGCCGAAGTCGTGGCAGGCGCAGCATTCTGTGCATCTGGGTGTGTGTTTGTGTGGCAGGGGTCGCATTCGGCAGCTGTCTAGAGGGACAGGATGTTGTCGCGCGCGCGGCGGGGGGTGTGCGAAATCGTGGCAGGCGCAGCACTTTGGCGATGCCGTTGCGAAATCGTGGCAGGCGCAGCACTTTGGCGATGCCGTTGCCGAAGTCGTGGCAGGCGCAGCATTCTGTGCATCTGGGTGTGTGTTTGTGTGGCAGGGGTCGCATTCGGCAGCTGTCTAGAGGGACAGGATGTTGTCGCGCGCGCGGCGGGGGGTGTGCGAAATCGTGGCAGGCGCAGCACTTTGGCGATGCCGTTGCGAAATCGTGGCAGGCGCAGCACTTTGCGGATGCCGTTGCCGAAGTCGTGGCAGGCGCAGCATTCTGTGCATCTGGGTGTGTGTTTGTGTGGCAGGGGTCGCATTCGGCAGCTGTCTAGAGGGACAGGATGTTGTCGCGCGCGCGGCGGGGGGTGTGCGAAATCGTGGCAGGCGCAGCACTTTGGCGATGCCGTTGCGAAATCGTGGCAGGCGCAGCACTTTGGCGATGCCGTTGCCGAAGTCGTGGCAGGCGCAGCATTCTGTGCATCTGGGTGTGTGTTTGTGTGGCAGGGGTCGCATTCGGCAGCTGTCTAGAGGGACAGGATGTTGTCGCGCGCGCGGCGGGGGGTGTGCGAAATCGTGGCAGGCGCAGCACTTTGGCGATGCCGTTGCGAAATCGTGGCAGGCGCAGCACTTTGGCGATGCCGTTGCCGAAGTCGTGGCAGGCGCAGCATTCTGTGCATCTGGGTGTGTGTTTGTGTGGCAGGGGTCGCATTCGGCAGCTGTCTAGAGGGACAGGATGTTGTCGCGCGCGCGGCGGGGGGTGTGCGAAATCGTGGCAGGCGCAGCACTTTGGCGATGCCGTTGCGAAATCGTGGCAGGCGCAGCACTTTGGCGATGCCGTTGCCGAAGTCGTGGCAGGCGCTGCATTCTGTGCATCTGGGTGCTCTGTAATCGCATCCATACAAGGGGCGCACGGTACATGTGTGTGGACATTTGGGAAAAACATAGCATGTGGGGTTATCCGGTCCTTTAATCTTTTTTAATATACAACAACCCAAAAAGGGGTTTCTTCAACCAAAAGAGCGCGTGTTTGCGTGCGTGTGTGTGTGTGTGTGTGCTCGCTTTTTCTTTTGCAAAAACTCACAGACCAAAGTCAAAAAAAACATGCCTGGAAAAGGCATCTCTTGTTTCCCCAGCCAGAAGCTATGGGGTCGATAGGGTTCAAAGAAAAGCTCTGAGTCGCAGCATACAGGCAGGGTTCAGGAGATCCGGAACTGTTGCGGACTCAACCCGGGCTTATTTGTTAAAACCCAGAAAAAAGACCATGAGAAACCCTGTTTCTTGCTCATGTCCAGAACGGGCCTGCTTGCAGGCTAAAATCCTCTTTTGGCAGGTAAAGGAAAACCAAAAAGAACAACCATTTTGGAGGTTCCCCCATTTTGCGAGCCCAGATTTGACCCCGAAAAAGTGGTCCCTTCAGGTTCCCTTGAAAACATGCCCGAATCTGCCGCCCTATAGAGTATATTCCAATAGGTGTGCCTCGATCGTTTTTCGGGTTTCGAAGAAACCATCCCCAACTTCTGCAGGGGTCCTTGATGTTTTCTCCTGGAGAAAGCCTGACCCATGTCAATGCCTTGTCAAACAGTTCTAGGCCGAAGTTGTCCCTGTACTTTGTAGAGGATGGCACGGCCATCGGCCGCAGACTGAGATTTCTGAGACGCGGACTAGGCTCTGGCTGCTGGGGTGCCCCAAGCCCTCAAGGCGCGGAGCCGAAGCCGGGGAAGTCGGATTCGGCGCGCCTCAGTTTGCGCGTTTTTTTTTTTGGAGGGGGGGGATTTCTATGTTGACATACCCGTTTCGAACGGGAAGAAGGCGTGGATGTCTTTCCCATGTCCACTGAGTCCAAGGTGCTGAGGCTGAACGTGGCACGGAATCGCTTAACGCTGGAGGGAGCCCAGCCCTGAGACGTCTGACGGTCGTTTCGAGGTCCAAACGCGACACCTGCGAGATGTTCTTGCTGCTGCGATAGGTAGGGAACGAGGGATGAACCCGGGGGATTCCCTAAAAGAAAGCCGCCAGCTGGATGGTTTGTAGGGGTCAGTCCATTTTCTTGCTGCTGCGATGGGGAATGACAGGCTCAGCATTGGAGGGCTAATGTCTCAAACAAAATCGGACCCTTGCACTTCTCCTTGCTGCTGCGGTAGGGAATGTGGTTGAACAAACCCAGGCCTTCGGTCCCCTGAAAGGAAACTACCAGCAATGGATGGTTGTTCTTGGGGTGAATCTATTTCTCATTTGTTTTTTCGAAAACGGCCACCAGTTCCGAGATGCGGCCACTTTGGACATGAAGGTAGTGCTTTTGGTTCCTAGAAGCCTTGAGTTGCACTGCGGCAAGCGGTGTGGGGCACTTCACTTTGTGGCCTGTGATTCATGCCATCTCACGTGCGTAAAGAGCGCGCGGCCGCGCGCGCTCGCAAATCAGGTCAGATCCATCGCAGCGTCATTGCCGAGTGGCCTCGAGGCGGGCTGCAAGGTTGCGGTGGCGGAGTTTTTTCTAGGTCCCCCAGTAGTGCCCTTCTCTGGCGTTTCTTCTTTGGGGGAGGGTTCCCCTACCAAAATAGACTATTCGGAAAAAAGAAAAAATCGGGTTTCCTTCTTCTAACCTCTCTACTCAAGAACCTAGTTTTGCATTTCTCCAGCGCCAGGAGCTGGCGCTGGGCTTCGCCGGCATGAAGACAGGCGCGCGCCTTTGCGGGCGGAGAGAAGCGCCGCCTGTGGGTGGCGGGTTGCGGGTGGCGGGCCTTAACCAGCCGGGTCACCTCCGCAGGTTTTCTTTGGCTCCCATGAAGAAAAAGGCGGCGATCTGAGAACCCCCCAAAGCGCGTCGGGTGCAAGGGATGAAAGGGGGTCTTCTTGGTTCAGGCCTTCCTATTTCGGTTTCCTTTGGATTCGCAGATTCCAAAGGGGCGGGTCTGAATGTTTTCAAGCTGGCGATTTCCTGTTGGTTCCCTTTGGAACCCTCTAAAAATGGGGCGCCAGCTCCAAACTACTGTGGATGGACGATATCCTGCACCACCTAAGAAAGCCTGGTTTCTGTTGAATCCCCTGTAAATGCCACTAAATTCAATGGTTTCAACCATGGTTTCCAAGTGGTGCGAAATGTTGTATACATTGTTACATAGTGGACAGGATGATATGAGGAGAGATGTTGAAATAATAGAAACAACAACCGCGAAAAAATGGCCATGGGTCAAAAACCCCGTACTCCCGGTGAACATCCCAATCCAACCACTAAAATAGGTTCTAAACTCGGTGGTGAACTCACTTACCCCAAAATGGGATCAACCAAAACGGCTTTGACCCACAGCCATGTAGGTGTGAGTGTGTGAAGGGTACCGGGCCTCAAAAGACACAGGCTGTACGGATCCACGGGCCTCCGCCAAATGGATTTCGCCACCAGCCGCACACGTCTCGGACTTAGAAAACCAAATCCAGGGCCCGCCGGCGCGGCAGCGCTCGCGGAGAAGCTGCCGCAGGCAACCCGCGCGTTGCGCGGGGGTCGGAGCTTCACAGACGGGGAGGTGTATGTTTTTTTCTGCCCCGCACGTGGGTGTGGCTCAAAATTCATGGGGTTACGCAGGCTTTAGTCTACTTTGCCATCTACCAGTTCCATTTGTGCCACAGGTTTGCCTCAATCTTTTTTGGGGTTTCCAAGCAACCATCCCCAAATTCTCAACCCTGCATCGCCCAAGCCGCATTTTTTTTTTTTTTTTTTTTTGCGGGGTCTTGGATGTTTCCCCTGCCCCAACAGTCCCGATTGATTTTGGGGCCTCAAAATGGGTTGTTTTTGAAATTGGTCGGGGTTCTCCATTAGAGGGTCCAATCTGCATTGGAGGGGTCATGACCCTCAGGGTGGAAAAATGGAGATGTCTTAGATGCGGCCTTAAAGATGGGGAGGTGCTTTTCCTGCCCCAACTTGCCGCATGCAACTACCAAGGGCTTCCAGGAACCACACCGCCAAAAAGCATGTCCAAAGCATAGGCATCCTTAAAAAACACTCGTTTGGTTGAAAATAGATGGGTCCCACTGGTTTAGATTGGTTTTGTTCCATTTGCCAGGGACACCCACCTATGGTCCAAAGCCATGGCCGCGTCTGAGAACTGATGGCTTGACTCAAAAAGCTTGCGATCGGTGCGAGAGATGAAGGGAATGAGAAATGGAACGACCCCACGAAAGACCATCCCTTGCTGGCGGTTTCCTTTATTCGGGGATCCCGAACGGTTCATTCCGTTTCTCATTCCAACTCCCCGATTTCGCGCCGATCGCACGTTGTTTATTGGCTCAAAACTCCCCTGAGAGACCACCGGCAAGGGATGGTGAACTCTTGGGGTCATTCCATCTCTACCTGTCGCACCCTCCCACCAGCTAACATGGAAGTGCACAGACCCCTGTAGAAAGACGACTTTCCTCTTAGAAAGGGCCTTGTTGCACTTCCACGTGGCCATGGGTCAAAATCCCGGTTATTTTCCAGTGAACATCCCAATCCAACCACTAAAATGGGTTCTAAAATGGGTGGTGAATTCACCTACCACAAAATGGGATCAACCAAAACGGTTTTGACCACTGCCATGTTAGTTGGTGGGAGGGTCTCGCACCGAGCAAAAACCGATTCGGCGGTTCCCTTGAAACTGAACCGAGCAAAAAAAGATGGATGCTCTTTTTTCCCATGGCCGCAGGGCATCCGAGTATCGCGGCACCAAGCAAAAGCCGCTTCGGGGTACTTCAAACATCGCCCTACTCAAAATACCCGCCCTTTTTTCGGGGTATTCTTGGGAAGACCGATCGGTTTTTCATGGTAAATACCTGCTTTTTTGGTAGAGGGTCGACATGATACTCGGGAAAAAAAGAGGGTATTTGGAGTAGGGGGTATTTAGCCGGGATGTTACTCCAAGTAGGGTCGTTTTTTAGTAGGGGGGACGTGCTCGGCTCGGCGAGGTGACGAAGCTGTCGCTGGACTTGGCCGGGAACCAAATGGGGGACGACGGCCTCGAGTGCATCTCCAAGGCACCGGGGCCGGAGGAGTTGCCAGGCTGCGGTGGTGAAAAATAGGGTAGCCCCAAGACTAAAACCTGTGTTTTTTTCCTCTTGTTTTAGTTTTGACCCGTATCCAGGTGTGTGTTGCTGTTGGTTGTTTGAAAGGTAAGCCAAAGGGGGCTGACCAATATTCCCCAAAAAGGCTTCCAGAAGACCACGGCTAGCTTTTCCAGTTTAGTGGGGAATATCATCCTTTGTTTCCCTAATGGCCATCCCATGTAAAGGCACTCCCAAATTGTTGGATGCACATCCAGCATGTTTTGAAATGAAGTGTGCCGAAGTTTCTGTATCATCGAGCATCGGTCATCGCCATTACGGACTTTTGAGGCGGCACCCAATAGGCCCGCGTTTGCTGGCTTCTTCTCTCCGATTTGAGCAACTCATGGTTTCAAGTTGGCAAGTTCAGTGCTGCAGCGTGATCAAGCTGTGTGGTGTCGCTCCTCAGTGGCTATTCTCAGAAGAAGAAGAAGAAGAAGAAGAAGAAGAAGAAGAAGAAGAAGAAGAAGAAGACGAAGACGAAGACGAAGACGAAAAAGAAGAAGAAGGAGAAGGAGAAGGAGAAGGAGACGAAGGAGAAGAAGACGAAGGAAAAGACGAAGAAGAAGAAGAAGAAGAGGAGGAAGAAGAAGAAGCAGAAGAAGAAGAAGGAGAAGGAGGAGGAGAAGAAGAAGGAGAAGGAGAAGGAGGAGGAGGAGAAGGAGAAGAAGAAGACGAAGACGAAGACGAAGAAGAAGAAGAAGGAGAAGGAGAAGGAGAAGGAGAAGGAGAAGGAGAAGAAGGAGAAGAGACCAAGAAGAAGAAGAAGACGAAGACGAAGACGAAGAAGAAGAAGAAGAAGACGAAGAAGAAGAAGACGAAGACGAAGAAGGAGAAGGAGAAGGAGAAGAAGTAGAAGAAGACGAAGGAGAAGAAGACGAAGTAGAAGACGAAGGAGAAGAAGAAGGAGGAGGAGGAGGAGAAAAAGAAGAAGAAGAAGAAGAAGAAGAAGAAGAAGAAGAAGAAGAAGAAGAAGAAGAAGAAGAAGAAGAAGAAGAAGAAGAAGAAGAAGAAGAAGACGAAGACGAAGACGAAGACGAAGACGAAGACGAAGAAGAAGAAGAAGAAGAATAAGAAGAAGAAGAAGAAGAAGAAGAAGAAGAAGAAGAAGAAGAAGAAGAAGAAGACGAAGACGAAGACGAAGACGAAGACGAAGACGAAGAAGAAGAAGGAGAAGAAGAACAATAACAAGACGATGATGCAATCGAGTCCGCGATAGCGGCGAGCGATTTGGCTCGCATGAGTCTTATGAAACTACGCCTGGTGAGGTTTGGCCCTTGAAGGACTAACCCGCCTCGGCTTGTTGGGTTTTTTTTTTTTTTTTTCGGGACCCATCGACCTTATCGCTGTTGCAAGGGAAATCAGGTGAGCCGCAAACAAAAGCCGGCTAGGTGAAGGTTAGTAAGGGGCAGTTTTAGCCAGAAATAGGTGCGGCCGCCTTGTGCATTCTAATGCCAAGTTTTGTTTGTGACTCAGGCAACGTTTTCTTAAACGGGTGAGGAGTGGTGCGCACTTTGTCAGAGGTCAGGCTTGTTGCACAACGCACGCGCAAACCAATCTGCTTTCCGGGCAACCAACTCTAGGCACCGGCGGTATTTGCCCTGAGTTTGGCGGGAGATTAGTTTCCTACGGCGGGTGGCTTGAGGGCTGGTTTTGCGGTGGGTTGATGGCATGATCTAGGGAGTAGGAGCAACAGAGGCCAACCCAGCAACTCAACGAGCACTGCAGTCAATTCCAAGCATGCGTATTTGTTCGCACGAAAGCTGCTTGCAATTCTTTGACTCCATTGGCATACTTCGATCGCGGAAGGGATATGTCCCCTTGCCGGTTGGGCACATGTTCACAGTTCCTGAGTTTGAGTCCTCTTTGGGTTTCACCATTCCTGAGTCTGAGTCTACTTTTAAGAGATGTTTATGGCCACAGGCTTGGGGTGGGTTACCCTCCCACAAACATAGCCCCTGTGGGAGGGTACCCGCAAGGGGGGTATCCCGTGTCAGTTGCCATGTTAGTGGGAGGGAGGGGAAAGCAGTGTCTCCAAAAAATTGAGCCTCGCCTCGCCGCCAGGCTCTGCCGAAGTCTCTGGAGCTGCTGCACGTGGTCCTCTTGGGGAACAACCTCAGCAGAAGGCGCCAGTCGGATGCCTCGGTGAGGGCACCGACAAAAGTACGGTCCAACTGAAACCACCCTCGGATTGGGCCGTTGTTTTTTTCCCGTCCCCATGGACCGGTTTCCCGCAACTCATTGTTGACCACCCAAATCAGGTACTTCAAAACGCGGAGATCTACTTTTGGAGCACCTGTATGTCGACTTGCGTCTGTTTTTTTTTTGCGGCCTGGTTTAGACCAACAGGAACACCCTCTTGGGGGTCCCTGGCCTTGAAAGGGAGCCACCCATCTTGGGGAAGTCGGACCCTAGACAAGGCGCCCATTCTTGGTTTGCAAGCTGCAAGGGTGCTTCGCAGGGGCTGCTCCGGGGCTTCATCATACAGACGATTTTTTTACGTCTGTGTCAACTTTTTGGGGCTGTCTGGTTGTCCGGCCAGCCTAAAGAACCCTCAGGCCTCCTATGTCCGTTGTTTGGTGTTTTTTTCTTTGGGGGCAAGTTTGGTCGTAAGGAGTACCCCTTGAATGGGCTGGGTTTTCCTTTTGCCACAAGGAACCCCATGATTTTGGGTGTAAAGTTTGGGGGACTGCCAAGATGCATCTTTCGGCGTCTCTCTCCCTTGAAATCCAATTAGCAAACTTCGGGCGACGTCCCCCGCGCCGCGACCATGCAGGGGCTTCTTCATGATCGACCGCCAGATCGGCGACCCCCTGCATGAACACCACCTGCCGAAACTGCAGCCAGGAAGCCCAGGATATCTTTTTTCTCTAGCCACTCCACAATGGGCGTGCCTGAAAATTGGAGTTGGTACCTTTGATTTTGGTGGATCTGAAGGGACACTAAAAGGAACCTTTTTGTGTTGGGTTGGGGGTACCCTAGAAAAGACGCACCAAATAGGTCCTCCCCAAATAAACAAATGTGGTTCTCCTTGTACGTTTCCCCTGTACGCTTCCCAAACAAGGTACCCTCAAAAAAGACAGACGGGGTCACGAGAGTCCAAAGCAAACGGAGGCAAATGGGGACTCCCCCAAGATGGCGGTTTTCCTTTTAGGCTTCAAATCAAACTTGGTGGAAGTTGCTGGCTTTCAATGTGTGAGCTCTGTGTATTTGGGTACCACTTGTCGCTTGACAGCTCTCTTGGGTGTAGCACTCGCAAGAAGCCCTTCGATGCTTGGCTTGAAAGATTTGGCTTAGGGAGCCAACTTTGACCGACGGATCGAACATTCACATCAGTTGGCGCAAAGGAGACATGTTCACGGCTTGATGTCGGGGACGTTGACCGAACAGAGTGATTGTGCCGCTGAAGACGAGGCCGGAGAACTTTGTCAAAGTTGGGGAGGTGGAAGTGACAGAGTTCAAAGAGCAGGCGGACACTTGTCTGAAATTATCCATTTGCTTCCATACTTTGTCCTCCAATCCAAGGATGGTGCCATGATTCGCCAGGTGGAGTGGCAAAAAGCCATTTGACAAAAGCATGCGCGTTGCTTGCCGCGCGCCCCCGTCCGAGTCGTTTTGTACAGGACCTTTCCCTGTTGCCCCATAGCCCCCTAGTTCTGCTTCGTTGGCTACACCATTATTGTCGTTGCTCACGTGCTCTTTCCAATCGTGTTGTTTGCTCTGGCACGTGGCAAGCTGTAACTAACCAAGCCTTCATTTTCAGTTAAATCCTTTGGAACTCCTCTGCAAATGTGCTTCCTCCAGGGCAACATGAGGACAACGTCCATTTGGATTTGTTTGCGTTTGGAAACTAAGGGTGGTTGGACATCACGTCATCATCTTGTTCAGGGATTTTCCACAGCTGCTGCAGGGTAGTTTCCTGTCAGTTTCAAATACCTCTGAAAGCAGAGGATGCCCCACATATTTGCACCAACCCCTCCGAAACGGACCAGTGCGGAAATTGAGCGTTCCTGCAGCTTTCCAGCCAGCCCTCATGGCTACAATTTCCGTTTGCTCAATTAGCTGGCTGGTACGCTGAGCCGTTTGAAGCTAAGTCAAACCCTGGATGTCCACATGAGATCGATGGCCATTCCCCCGTAGCTTTTGCCGTGGAGCTTTATAGCATGGCTTTCCGTGTGTTCGAAGCGGAGCCCTGACCGGGACTACCTGGTTGTCGCCAGAGGTGGCGGATCCGGGGCGGCCGCGGCAGTTTGCTCGTCGATCTATGGTAGCCATCGGCGGACACCGGGGATCCTCGTTCACTGGATGGCGGCTCTGGCGGTGGCGGCTGCTTCCTTGGTTGTCGGAGGGGGGAGGAGCGCGGGTCAGTGCCGGTGTGCCCAGTCTCGGGGCAATGGTGTCGCCTCTGTCACTTGTACTGGAATGGTATGATGGCGGTGGTGGCGGTGGCGGAGTCAGTGGTGGAGTCAGTGGTGAAGTCAGTGGTGGAGCGTAAATTCCATCAACCATTTTTCGTCCATTTTGAAGGTGGTTTGCATGAAAGGACTGGGCGGAGGCGGGAAATTCCCGCCTCCGCTCAGGCCTTCTATGCGAACCACCTTCAAAATGGACGAACATTCGTGGGTGGAAGTAATGCCTCTGGCAAAGGCAGCAGTTTCCCCAATCCAAAGTGTGGCCAGTACCAAATCGCTTCACTGCTCAGGATGGCATGCCAGCGCAATTGTTGCGTGCAGTAGCAGAGCCCTGAGCCGCTATTTGCCGGTGGCACCGTGACATCCGCGTGCAGTTCTGAAGCTGCGCGCATGGATAGCTACAGGAAGCAGTCAGATCGATGTTGCAACGACGACCACTACTATGACCAGTGCAACGACAATGACCACACCACGGACGCCCAGGACGTTGCTCAAGCCGTGCTTGTAGTTGTTTGATTCAACTGGCACCGTTTTTCTTTCCACAGTCATCTTACTTGGGATGCCCAACAAAGCAAGCTCTGTAGGCTTCGGATGTGTATTCGGAGCTGTATTGTTAGAAAGCTTGAATTGGGAGTTTGGGCCGAAGGCTTCTCCGAGGCGAGCTGATTTTTTGAGTTGCCAGGCCAAGGCTTCAGCTATCAACTTGCTGTGTCAGGGTGGGCAGTTGAAGAAATTTTATGAAGCGTCCTAGGTACGAGTGTACAACACACGATAGCCAGCGACGCATATGTGTGAGCTTAACATGCCCTTTTGAAGTTCTCAATGCAGGATAATTCCTTTGGCTTGGTCGACAATTATATTTTTATATTTATTTTAATATTATATATATATATATAAAGGAACACAACATATGTTAACAAAATATATAATTATTATTATAAATAATATATTAAAATAATCTATAAACTATATTATTTTTAATTTTAATATTTATTTATTTGTTGGAAAGGATTTTTATAATTTTATTATTTTGTTTATGGTCTAAATAAAATAATTATTACTGTTTTATGATTAATTATATAAATAATTATATGTGTTTGAAATATAGATATATTATATAATTTAAAAAGATATATAAAATAAATAAACATATTTTTAATAAACTAGATACTATTTATAATATTTTTTTATAAACCGGTATGGTTTCGAGATCGTATTTCTCGTGTAGTGGTAAATTGTTATAGTATTTTGGCCGAATTGTAATGTTTGTGGTGAGCGGTTATTGTTTTTTTTTCCTCCTCGATATAGCTCTCGTTTTTTTATACGTCCGGAAGGTTCTGATATTTGGTCGAAATTTCGGGGGGGGGGGGGTAAGAATTTTGTTTAGGATTCGTATGATGTAATTCGGGCAAATTTCCCGAATTTGGGGGTCGTTTCCGGCGATACGATACTTAGGTTTTGGGAAATTACTCCGGCAAATTTCTATAGAATTTAATGGTTTGTCGAAAACATTATCGAACTAAATTTCGAGAAAATTTGGGGAATTTGTCCGAGTTCCCCTTTTCTCCGTATCCTGCCTCTTTTTATGTTTCTCAGTCTGTTTCCATGTATTCGTATATATTGTTTCTTTTCGGTGTTTGCGCCTCTTTGTCTCTATTTGTTTATCTATGTCTCTTTGTCTCTCGGGTTGTTTCGGTTTATATATTTGTTTGTCTTTATATGTCCGAATTTGTCGTTCGTCTCTATTTTTTTGTGTCTTTTTGTATTTCTATCTATTTCCATAGCAGGAGGAATTATTGCTAGCGAAGATGCCCGAGGTGGAGGCAAAAATTCCCCAAAGAAGTTTCCGACCCCGAGAAAAACCAGCCGATACCCCAACAAGACCTAAACAAATTGTTCCTTCCTCATCCTATGGGCGATAAAATGGCACCAAAAAGAAAGAAAAAGAGAAAGAGAGTAAGAGAAAAAAATAAGAGAGAAATCTTTTTTTTCTTTCTCTCTTTCAAAGAAAGAAAAAGAGAGAGAGAGAAAGAGAGAAAGAGAGAAAGAGAGAAAGAGAGAAAGAGAGAAAGAGAGAAAGAGAGAAAGAGAGAAAGAGAGAAAGAGAGAAAGAGAGAAAGAGAGAAAGAGAGAAAGAGAGAAAGAGAGAAAGAGAGAAAGAGAGAAAGAGAGAAAGAGAGAAAGAGAGAAAGAGAGAAAGAGAGAAAGAGAGAAAGAGAGAAAGAGAGAAAGAGAGAAAGAGAGAAAGAGAGAAAGAGAGAAAGAGAGAAAGAGAGAAAGAGAGAAAGAGAGAAAGAGAGAAAGAGAGAAAGAGAGAAAGAGAGAAAGAGAGAAAGAGAGAGAGAAAGAGAGAAAGAGAGAAAGAGAGAAAGAGAGAAAGAGAGAAAGAGAGAAAGAGAGAAAGAGAGAAGAGAGAGAGAAAGAGAGAAAGAGAGAGAAGAGAGAGAAAGAGAGAAAGAGAGAAAGAGAGAAAGAGAGAAAGAGAGAAAGAGAGAAAGAGAGAAAGAGAGAAAGAGAGAAAGAGAGAAAGAGAGAAAGAGAGAAAGAGAGAAAGAGAGAAAGAGAGAAAGAGAGAAAGAGAGAAAGAGAGAAAGAGAGATAAAAATAATCTTTGCGCTTGTTTTTGCGGGTCGGTGCAGAAAAATGGCATATTTCCGCGTTGTTGTATGCCGTTTTTTTTTTTTTACCTTTGAAATGTTGTTTGTTTTGTTTTGTTTTTATTTTCGTGTTTGATGATATTTATTATTGTTTTTGTTTATATAATTGCCTCTTTTTTTTTTCTTCTTTTTTTTTTTTCCTTTTTATCTTTTTTTTCTTTTTTTTTTTCTTTTTTTTATTTTATTTGTTTTGCATTTTCTCTCTTTATTTCTCTTTTTTTTTCTTTTATTTTTATTTTTTATTTTTTTTCCCCATTAGTTTTTTATTATTTCTTTTCTTTTTTTTTTGGGGTATTTTTATATTTTTTTTTTTAAACAAAAAAATCTTTTTACTTTATTTTTTGCTTTCTTTTTTCTTCTCTCTTTGTTTTCTTTCTTCTTTGATTTTTTTTATTGGTATTCATATTGATGAAATTGATGGATTCTTATTAATTTATATTTATTTTATAAAATATAACTATATATTTAAATAATATATCTTTAATATCATATTTTATATTTCTCTTGTTTTATTAATTTTAAAATTTATAATATATTAAATATTATATATTATAAATATATATTTTTTCTAATTATTATTATATTTATATAAAACTAATTATATATATTTTATAAATATAAGATTTTGTTGAATTATTTATTTATATTTTGATATACATTTAATATATTAAAAATATAAATTTGAATTTAATGAACATAATATTATATTTTAATTTTAGATTAATTTATATATTTTTCTAAATTTATATTTACTTACTTGAAAATAAATAAAAACATGTTTTTAAATAATATCATTTTCTTTATAAAATTGAATTCTATATAGCTAATATATACAAATTCGATACAAATTTAAATATATATATATAATTTTAATATATATTTTAATATTTTTATATATTATGTTTTATTAATTTCTATTATATATTAATTTAACTCATTATATTAATCAAATAAATAATATTTAATTTATTTTTATATAAATCCATATTATTATTTTTTTGAATACACATCATATATATATATATATATAAGATAATACTTAAATATAAACCATATTTATTTTACTATAAATTTATTTTAATTCCCACCTCTTAAATATATATATCTTTCTTTTTTTTGGGGGGGAAAAAAACAAAACAAAAAATATATAATAATAATAATATATATATATATATATATAACAAAATGAGAATAATATAATATTCCCACTAAATATTAATATTTCCCTTCGAATATCCTTCATATTCATGAATTTACGATTAAGAACGTTTTGTGGTTAATGTTCTTGAGTATCTCGATTTGAAGATTTAAACTCATTTGCATATTATATTATAAATTGCCAATCCTTTTACGTTAGGCCAGGCCCCGATAAAATATATAATTTTTAGATTAATCGAATTTAAACATAATTTTCGAATGGTTTATGGACCTAAAATATAATTATTTAACAATTTTTTGTAATAAAAACCTTATTCATTTATCTATAAATAATTTTCTAGTTATTTAATATTAATCAACACATTAAACAATACAAACTAAAAAAATAATCTAAAAGCAAAATCCCAATAATAAATATTAATAAATTATTTATATTCGATTTTATTCATACAAAAAATATATCCAAGTATAAATCATCATACATTACCAAAATCCAATAACAAACTATTCTTATAATATATACGACAAACTCCATCAACAAACCAAATATTCGACAAACTCCATTAACAAATAATTCTATCAACATAATTAATTCATATTATTATACATTATTCTTTAAATATATATATATATAAAATCATATTTATGCATACATATACACAATATAACACAATATATCATAACATTCATATACATACACACAATACCATAATATAACAAATCATAACACAAAACAACACAATACAAAATACATAAATAAACAAATACAAACCACCACAACCAACCATTATACAACATAATACAACTACAACCAATACACCCAAAATCACAACATAACACATACAAACCACAAACAATCGCCCCAAAACAATACGTACACTCAACACAATATTCATATATATATATATATATTTAACACAATCACACGCCAAAAGCCCGAAATATTATATATATACACATTGTTTTTTCAAAATAATATCCAAAGAAAGAAAATATATACCTATACAAATCATCCGTATTACATATCCAACTCAACCCATCATCAACAATATTCTCAAACAATACCACAAACAATATCCCAAATTACTACAATACGCCCCCATCATCCTCAACACCTCAAATATCATCCAAAATAATACTCCAAATTATATATTTCTTATTCCCCTACTATCAATCTTACAAGAATATATCCTCATCAATATCGCCCAAAACAACACATACACCAACACCCAAACAACGCCATATCATATCTTCACTAAGAATATGTATGCTTTATTACTGAAGGCATTATATATATATACATATTGAATCTAATATATATATATATATATGGGTATTGGTATTCTAAATTTAAATATTTGGCAATATTTTATTATTTTTATTAATTAAGAATTACGAGGTTGTTTTTTGGATAAAGGTATATATTATTATTTTGATGATTTGAGACTTATGTGTTTTTGGTATTGTGTAGAGGTCGGAGTGTTGGGAGTTTTTGACTTTTGAATATCCTATAGAAAAATATATGTAATACTTAATGATTGTTGAGTATTTTAGTGGATTTGTTTAGATAGTTTAAATTTATATGGGGTTTTAATTGTTAATAAAAAGGAATAAAATATTTGTCAAATTGATGGTGGAGTTGTCAATCAATAAACAAATCATATATATATATATGTACATATATCAACACAAAAAGATGCGATTAAAACACTCGTCATTTTTTTGCACATTCAGAACCATACACATTTCAAATTTACAATAGTATACAACAAATAACCAACAGAGCAGTTTCCTCCTTTTTTGCCGTATACTAGTGGATCAGTACATGGTTCAATCTCGAAAGCTGACATTCTTCGCTGCCGAGCTCTCAACGCAAAACAAATTCTACATGTCTACTTGCTGCCAATTTGGGCGCAAGACTCTAAAGCAAGTATGACTCTGCTGGGCTGCCCTCAGATCCCCTGCTGAAAGTGACTAACTGTTTGTGGGTCAAATGGAAACTACCAGTAAACACTAAAAGGCTAAAAAGCTAAGAGGATAGCTGGGAGCCACCAAGTCTGAATTTTGAAGCTCAAGAGAAACATAGATCATATCCATATGTCCAGTAGCCATACTTGGGACCATTTCGGAACCTACATCACTGGGTCTGGTATGGCTCTGTAGCCACCTGTTGATAAGCCGAAGAGACCGGCTGGTAGGCCGAAGGGGCGACCTGATACGTCCTGGGTTCGAGCGATGTGTTTCTGGCACTTTCCAACCCATAGCAAACAATGGACGGTTTTTTTGCAGCCCCCTACCAGGGCCCAAGAAAAATAGCAGAACCCAAAAGCATGCCAATAGTGAAGTGAAAAATAGGAGCAACCGCCTGCTTTAAAGGGTATCTAGGCGAACGGTAAGTTAGCCGGTGTCCCCTTTTTTTGTGAAACAACTTGAGGCTCTGAAAGGAGTCCCTTCCACAGATTTGTTGTGCCTACAAAGGGATGGGGAGAACCTATGGCTTCCTTCCATACATGGGGGTTAGCTCAAACGCCAAGGGGGATGGCTGGGACCAAGACTATGTTGGCCCAGCGTCATCGGCTGCGCAGGCATGGACGCGGGGACCTGGTAGCTGGACATGGGAACCTGCTGGTAGCTGGCCGGCTGGTAGGTCATGGCCGGCTGGTAGGTCATCGGGGCCGGCTGGTATGTCCTCATAGCGGCCCTAGTCTTCTGCAGGAAGGGGGGGGGGGTTCGGGTCTCAAAACGTGCCAGCTCAAGAAGTTGAGGCGCTCAAGAACCCGGGCAAATGAATAGAAACTCAAACCAACGCCCATGGGTGTGGCACTTGGAGGCTCCCCATTTTGGGCTTGTCTTGAAGGGAACACAGAAGCGGAACCCCATCCATCCGGAGCTGGCGGATCTGGCGGATCTGGCCGGGGCTCGGTGCGGCAGCGTAGCTCGGCTCCGCCGCGAAGGGCCGCGGCACGGAGTACGTGGGCGCCGACATCTGCACCGCGGATTGGGCGGGCGCAGCGCTTGACGCGGCTGCGGTGCTGGATGGCGCCTGACGAGCGGTGTGACGAGAGAGGGGGCTTGGCGAGTTTTTTTGTTTTCTCTGGGAGACATGGGTGTATGAGAAAAACACACACCTGTTTAGCGCAAGCCGTGAGTGGAATGGCATAACATGGCTTGTTCACTTGAGCAAGCGCAGGGTGCTAGTACATGTCGGTCATGTCCAGGCCCGGGCGGCTTCTGAAATCGGCTGTATGAATCCATACATCCATCCAATCAATCAATTAAATGAAATCAAATCAAATCAAGTCAAATCAAATCAAATCAACAGCTGGAAACTGCGCTCCTGCTGGGACTTGGCTCGCGTTCCAATTTTTGCAGCTCTGAGAACGGAACGATGAAACGGTGTCCCTTCCAGCCGGTCGCTCAGCTTTTTGTGAGGAATTTGGACAACCTGGACCCCAACTCCTTTTCGCTGCCTTGTGCCGCTTTGTTGGTGGCTCAAAGGTGGTGGAACAAAAGGGGGTGCTGTGGCAAGGGTTGCACTCCCAAGTGGACAACCAAACCTTCTATTGATTTCCATGGAGAAAAAGAGCACATTTTGTTGGTTGATGTTGAAGGGGCCACCGGCATTGTTGTTTGGTTGACTTTGAAAGGTCTCCCCCTCCACACATTGCAAGCCATCCAAGAGAGTCTCCATATGGGTTTGTCTCAGAATACGAGGGTCCCTTAAAACGGTTGCTTTCCTTTTGGTTTCCCAAAGCAACCACCAAAATGGTACCAAACCTTAAACCACCACAGCCCCGCATCCAAAAAAAGAATTGAGGGTTGATAAAAAGGTCCTTTAGAAGGGGTGACCATTAGGGCATCACATCCAAAAAGATATGACTTTCACTGCCTGGGACAACTTACGTATGGTTATTTCGGGTCCGAAAGGAAGTCATCATCAGAACGTGTCGTTAAATTGGGGACCCATCAAACATGGCCCTGTGTTGTCCCTTTGGTTTCCTTTTCTGGACTGTCCTCACATCCCCCGCCAAAAGTCCAACTTTTAGTGGGTGAGATGGACACCCCCACCAAATCCTGACAACCAAAAATTCTAAGGAACTGCACGGCTGGGAACCGCCAAGCCATCGAAACCCAGAGATCTCTCGCGCTCGCTTCGATCGCGCGCTCGCCTCGGCGTCAAAGGTCGCTCCCGGGTTGGCCATCTTCGCGTAGAGCTGCCACGCCTTCCGAGGCTCACCTCGGAAGATTTGGGTTTGGCTCAAAAGTACAGAGCTATCAGGGGGGCTGGGGGGGAGGGGAAGAGGGGGAGGGAGCCCAAATAAGCCCTTAAGCCCCTGATAAGGCCCTATTTAGGGCTTGTTGGGGCTCCCTCCCCCCCCCCACGCGGCTTTGGTCCATCTGTTTCCATTTACCAGGGCAAGCCATTTTGGGTACCCATCTTTTTGACCCGCAGCCATTTACCCTTCGCCTTTTTTCGAGGGCGCCAATTGTTTGTTGGCGATCGCTGCGATAGATAGGTAGGGAATATAATTGCATGAACCTGGGGATGCCTTTGAAGGACAACTACAACAGATAGTTTGTAGGGGTCATTCCATTTCTAATTGTTTGCTGAGCACCAGCAAGTTTTCTGTTTGGTGGTTTGAAAGGAAAGCTAAAGAAAACAAACAGGTGTCAACCGTTGCGCCAAGGGGGGTGTCCAAATCCTAAAAGAAGACAAGCCTATTCATATGTTTGTCCTAGTACGGAGGTCAAATTGACAGCCGTCTCGGCAAATTAATGGGTTTGGGGTGGTAGGCACTGGAAGCCAATCCTGGGTTCCCTTCCCAATTGTTCAAGTGGATGTGGGCGGCTTTTTTTGGGGGCGACCTAAATAAATTGTGGGTTTCCTTTTGGTTACGCGTTGCCACAGAAGAGGATGCCAACTCCAAACAAACACACTTATGGGGCTTCCCCAAAAGGACCGCTTTCGTCTTCCACAACCCTGTTGTCAGCGTCCATGATTGCAGGGCCGGAGTTGTGGATACTTTTTGGGCTGTTTAGGACGGCTTGTCAGTGCATGAAAATCCTGAAAACGAAGTTCCTCCGCCCTATGAGCGACGTTCATCAAAACACGAAACGCGAATTCCAAGATCAACTCATTGCTATTCTTCCAACATGCATGTAAGTGGACAGGGGGGACGTATTGAAATGATGGTAGTCTTGCAAACACCCAGCAATCCACTTCTATGATTGATAGAACTGGGGCAGCATCTCTGGCAATCAGGGGCAAGCATGGAACAACTTTTTGACGGTCGACTTCATGAAGCAAAAAGAAACCCAATGAATCCACGCTTTGATGCCTTGCTCTTGGATGAGTCAGACAACATCTATCGGGGATCAAGCAGTATTTCTGAGATCAAGGCAACAACCTATGTACGAAATATCAACAACTTTTTTTTTTAAGCGAGAAACATGTATAAATAGCATGATTGGGTGGCTAGATTTTAGGTTTGCTTATGTTGTCAGCGTTTTTGGAAGGTGGGCGCAAAGCGTGTCACGCAATTGCGTGTGTGCTGTTGCTCTGCTACTGTGTCACGCTGCTACGATATCATACGCTCGTGCGGTTTCACCCTGACAACCAGCCTCTCCCTGCTGTGCTGCGTGCTTTCAGGATCGACCTGACTGCTCATTTCGGGGTCATAGACTTTGTCGTGATGTTTTCCCTTTCTGCGTTGTTTACGCTGCGTGTGCTGCTTACGCTTCCTGCGCTGTTTCCGCTGCGCGCGCGGCGTTGATGACGCTGCCTGCACTGTTTACGCTGACCACAATCAGTACGCGCTTTTTACAAGATGCCAGTGCAGCCAGTGTATGTGGTGTACACTGTGAAAAAACGGCGTAAACAGTGCAAATACACACACACACACAAACACAACACAGAAAAACAAACATATGCACCAACACACAAACACACACACACACACACCCTAAAAAACAGCTCCCTGCTACCCCAAGCACACCGATTCCAGTGTGCTCTTTTTCATCCCGAAGAGGTTATCAGTGTGGGAGTATCTTACACAGTGTCCCTCTCCCCCAGAGGCATCTTGTAAATCCATTTGGGCGTGTGTCAAAATAGGGGGATGTCCAACATGTGGATGTGCAACATGGGGCCTAAACCAACCTTTCAAGATCCGTTTCATCCCGAGACACACTCCCAAACGCCCGGCCTGGGGTGGAGATTGGTCCCGTCACTCCGCGCTTCTTCTTCTTGGAAGCCGTCGTGCCGCCCCCGCCGAACATAGCCAATGCCCCAGCGGCCACCATGGCCGCACCCACACTGCCACCCACGATGGCATAGACCGTGGTGTCCCTCGGTATTCCCAACCGTTTCGGTAGAAAAAGAGAACACAAGAAAGAGGGGTCCATGTTTAGTGGGGAGCCACCAAATAAAATGGGATTGTAGGCGGTGCAACCAGGAGTTTTGATGAGGAAACACCTGTCTGACAAATGAATCCTCGGCTTGGGGGCCCAAATTCCCCAGCCGAAACGGTCCAGCGAAATTGGTCTGAAGGGACATGACAAAACGGACCTCCCAATTCGCGCGACAGGCGGTTTGGCTGGCGCCTTTTAAGAAGCACAGGGCCTGCCCCTCCCTAACAAAGGGTTGCCCGTTCACTCCCTGTTTAATGATTTTTGGGACGCCGAGGTGGTTTCTGCCGCTTCTCGTGTATTTTTTTGAGGCAAAGCTTGGTGGCAATGCATCGAAGGGCCCAAGAAACATCTGCATTTCTTCAGCCTTGCCCCAAGGACACTGGCCTCTTTTACAAACGGACCTTGATTCAATCACTTTGGTTTGCTGCCGTAAACCTGTGAACGCACACCTGTTGGACAAACATGTCGATTCATGCCTTCTGCATGGGTGTTTTTTTTAGGGGACCCAACAACGGCGGTTTTCCTTTTGGAGTTTCTTTGAAGCCACAAACAAGTGGTATCCTCAAAAAAGACACGTCCAAACGGGACTCTCAGAAAACCCAGTATTTTCAGATGAATCCCCTTTCCGAGCAGCACCAGTTTCTCAATTTTTTCCGCTTATTGGCTGGGTAGGAATCTGCTTTTGATTTACCGCTCACAGCAAATGTGTGTGAAATGTCAGTTGCCTGCTTCCCTGGGAGGCTGGACAATTGGAACACGAACCAAGCTCATCAATCATGCAAAAATCATGCAGGGCCGGTACCCTCATTCCAACAATCACGGAAATACACCACTAGCATCCTCCGTTCTTAAGCGGAGTGTCCCAAATCCCGAAGCTTCTTCTGCGAGATGCCACGAAAACAGCTCACGCCACTACAATCTGGCACAAGGACATATTGCTTTTACAAAACCCCTTTAGGATCCTTTTGACTGGTGCCAACTCCGGATAAGGGAGGATTCCAGCCCAGCTAGTAGGTTTAAGGGCACATGGAATTGCCTCGCTTCCGAATTTGGGCGTGATTTTTCATCGGGGATTGTCAGGTGGACACCATTTGGCTGGGGATTTGTGCCCACCAAACATTTTGTTGGGTGTTCCCTCCAGAAATGATTCCTCACTAAACCAGGGAGAAGCACCCCCCATAATGTATAGTCACTAAAATCCCCACCCCCCTCCACCTCCACCATGTAATAGTTAGGGGGTGGGGATCCCCCTATTTTGTCAAGTGGGGTTTCTTGAGATGGCCATTTCGAGCCCTATGCGCCAAGCGGCCCCTCCTTGCTGCCCGCAGCCAGAGCTTTGCCGTCAGATCCCTCCTTGAATGTGGCCCCCACCTCACGTGCCGCGAAAAGACGCCGCGAGTCTTTTCGCCGCGAAAGCCGGTTTCAGCTGAAGGCGAGTGAGACAATCCAAGAAGCTGAAGAGCAAAACGCCTTTTTTTGACCACTTGGGCGTGTCATTTTGTAGGACTCGGGCCCCCCCAAACTGGCGCAACGGGTTTCCTTTTGGCTTGCCTTCAAAAGCAAGCCGGGTACCCGAGACGGACCAAATCATTGGACTGCCCGGGCCTGGTCTGCCGCCTGGTTGGCGGTGTTGCTCAAGTGAGCGCCTGCGAATCGACCCAAACACGCCAGCGAAGGCCATGGGATGAGCCGAACGGAAAAGCGACATCTTTCCTTCGGCCAGAAGGGAACTTAGGGGTTTCAAGCGCAAAATAGCTAGGTCTGGCAATGAGAGCAGCGCCCAACAGCACATCAGACCTGTACAGAGTTCCTTGTTACAGGGGGAAAGATCTGTCCAAAGGAAGTCTGTGGGCTTCGGTGCTTGGAACGCCCGAAGGCACGAATCCATCTCTGGTCAGCTACCGACGTATGAAGCCTTCCCTTGCCATGGGAAAAAAACTACGTCTCTCATTTGCTTGAACGAAACCACCTGATGCGAGCGATTCCATTCTTCGATTCCAAAAAAAACCATCCTTGGGCCCTTGGCTTTGGAACCCAAAAGTTTTGCCGCCCTCTTCGTGTTTCTCACGCCCGGTTTCTGCCCACATCTCCCCACCTGCCGCTGCGAAGGAATCGGAGACGGCGCCCACGCCGCTGTTCACGCCATCCGCCAGGCTGGCGGCCGCGCCGTTGGCCTGCTCCTGCGGAGCAAAGTTCCGCTTTGGGGCCGATTCAGCCGGAAACTGGTGGCTGTCCTCTTGGTTGCTGCAGGGACCCCCCTGCAAACAGTTTTTCACTTCTTGGGGGGTTCGTGGAAAACCCCTTGATTGCCCAAGAAGTTAAAGTCTAAAGATCCAACCCAATAGCAGTCAAGTCCTCTTTCCCCTCTTTCGGGCCCCCCGGCCCAAACACTTTTAGTGGGAAAACAAGTGGACACCAACTACCGTTCAGCAACTGAAAAGCTAAAAAGCTAAGCCGGATGGCTGGGAGCCACCAAGGAAAGTGGACCTTGCTGGATTGAGCCCTTCGCTCCGTTTTGTTAAAGCTGTGACGACGGATGTCACGCAAAAAGGTGCTTGATAGAACTGCGGTGATTTCAGCGCCATGCGTGGTTGATGACACCTACAGCCGGGCGAAAGCACACGCAATCCCCGGCCCATTTAGGGTTCCCGGAGAAAAAAAAGAGGGTTTGGGGGGTCCCCCACGTACCGCGCAGCAATTTGATGACGTTCCACTAAACGTAGTCTTCGGGGAGAAACAGGGGTCCAGGCGCGAATCTTTGCTGGTTTGGGTTTCCTACCTCCTTTTGCCGAACATCTGGAAACAACTCTGTGTTTTTTGACGTCCTCTTTGCGAAAACGCTGGAAAACCGTGTTTTTTATGCGGGAAATACTGGGGAGCAAAGGGGACATGCAAGGAAGTGCAAGGAAATGAGGGGAGGAAATAGGAAGTCGACATGACAGGAAAGCAAGGGGAAATGAAAGGGAAACAAAGGGGGACTGAAAGGGACATGAAAGGGACAAAAATGAAAACAAGGGGAGTGCAGGGGGAATGAAAGGGAAACAAAGGACAAGGAAACCAATCGGTACGACGGGAGATGCAGGGAAATGACTCGCAAAGAAAGAAAGTGACATACGTGGAATATGAAGCGGACATACCGAGAAAATGACAGGGACATGAAGGGGGAGTTGAAAGGAATGGAAGGGACATGACCAGGACATGATGCGAAACGTGAACAGGACATGAAGGGGAAATCAAGGGGAAAGCCAGTAGGAAGCAGACAGTTCAGGGTCATGAAGGGGCAGTGCCCGGACATCGAGGCAACTCAGGGGGGACGTGACGCTGCAATGCAGAGAGAGAGAGAGAGAGACACAGGGAGAGAGCGGGAGAGAGAGGGAGAGAGTGAGAGAGAGAGACACAGAGAGCGAGAAAGAGAGAGAGAGAGAGAGAGAGAGAGACAAAGAGAGAGAGAGAGACACACAGAAAGACACAGAGAGAGAGAAAGTATGAAATCGGTAGAGGCTGCGCACGAAGTCAGCCTGCTCGATGTTGTTTTCCTTCTCACGCCATTGCCATGGTCGAGTGACTCAAGGGCCCTAAAAGACAAGGGCCGAGATGGCCAAATGCACGGAGTGTATTTCACACCGGTGGGGCATCAAATGAAATCACAGCGGCTGCAAGTCACAGGTGATGCAGCGTTCAAACTGGCGCACCTGTGTCGACTCACGGATGTGATGACACTGTGCAAAGAGGTGATACCGTGAGCCATGCCGGCTCAGAAAAATCGGTCCTTGGCGATTCTCCAACTGCAAGATCCGGCTTTCAGCATAGGCCAAATCATTTTGCAGCGCCTGAATTCCGCGTTGCAAATCACTGGGGTCCGGTCCATCTGTTTGTGTGCCTGTGTTCGTCACCTGCCTGATGACGATTGTCGGCCTGTTGAAGATCCAAAGCAGCATCACGAACATGCCGATGAGCACGCTCAACAAGATCTCGATCAGGTAGTCCCCGGCCACGATGTCCTGTTCCACCACACTAGCCAAAACTGGTTTCACCTCATTGACCACCGTGCCGTAGAGCGCCACCTGCGCAGCACCTGCTCCGAACTTCTTGAAGGCCCTGCTCACCGCGTGCTTGCGCGCATTGGTCTTCCGCTCCTCTGCCGTCTTCTTCTTGCTTGCCGTGAACTCCTCATCGGCTACCAAGGACACTCTGTGCGTCCGCAACCGATCCGCCATCAACTGACGTGCAGCAGGCTTTGTCAGCCCATCCGCGTACTGATACTCTGAGCTCACCCACCGTAGTTTCGACCCAAGGTCGTTCATCTTCTGCTTGATGATCATGACCTCGATCATCGTGCGCTTGTCGCCCTGAAGCTGGGGCGACTCCGCCATAATGGAGTCGTACAACGCTTTCGCGTCAACCACCACAGCGGACTGCATCTTGATCTGGTTCCCCGGGTCCCTGAGGTTGAAGTCCTTCGCCAGGCATGCCGCCCAGAACGTCGCAGCGAACTCCAAAGCGTCCACCGCAGCACTGCATCCTTGACTTTCTGCATTCAGGGATGACCTTGAGACACGGGTCAGCTTGAAGCTTCTCCAGTCCAGCAGGTTGTAGTACACCGACTTGCCCTCCAGAACGCTCTTGTGTGTCAGCATCACCACGTATCCGCCCTGTCCGACATGGCCACCAGCACCAGGTCATCCAAGCCGCCCTCAAACTTGTGAAAAAGCAGCCCGATGTCTCCGTTTTGCTTAGCGAACCTCAGAAGCTTATTCCCTTCTCGCAAAGCTCCCTTGGTGGCTTTGGAGGTCTGTCCTGCCAGGATAGACAGCGATGCAGCCAGATGCGGTGACGTCTGAGTCGAAGGCCACTGCAGGGATCCAAGAAGACCTCTCAGCCATGAGATCTCTTTCTGGCTGGCCTCCGCTTCGTCTGGCTCGTTGCCCGTGACGGTGATCGGGTGAATCTTCGCCATGTACTCCTTCTGTTGAAGCTGCCATCCTTGGTCATGATGGGATAGTTCACAACCGCAAAATTTGAGGCTTCCGTCCGAGAGGAAGTCGCACCAAGGTCTGAAGTTGAACTCCTGGTTGAGCTTCTCCTTTGCCGCAACATACTCCGGGTCGTTGCTGTCTCCGCCTCCAAGTAGATCGTCGACGTGCAAGCCAATCAACGAAATCAGGTTGCCCGCCTTGTTGAAGAGCCGGAAGAGACAGCAATCGACTGGATGTGGTTCATATCCAACCTGCCGGAGCTTGCGTCTGGCCACTATGAACCATTGCCTCGGTGCGTCTGCTTGTCCATAGATCGGCTTCACCAGCCGCATAAGCGAACCGGGTGACAAGCCCAGAAGTTCACATGCATCTCGAGGTAGTCGCGCCCACAATTGGCGCTGTTGAGGATCTCCTTGTAGAAATGCTGTAGCTACGTCCGCTGCCCATGGTGGCCATCCCATTGCTGCAAGAATAGACAGCAGCGACTGGCGTCCAACACGGGTCAACGTAGGGCTGCTGGTGTCGAGCTTGCCTTGTAGTAAATCGGGATCAGCAAATCCCTGAAGCACCAGTCTGGCTTTCGCCCTTGTGCTCCCGTCAGCGTTCTGCGACCACTTGAGCACGAACCTAGCCTTCAGAATCCGCCGCTTGTCTACAGAGTCGGGGTTTATCTCAACTTCCCAGACCTGGTTTTCGAAGATCGAGGACAGCTCTGCCTTCTTTGCCGTGACGAAGGCCAAGCGATCTTCCAGCCTCCTGTGTCTCTCAGACAAATCTGCTGGCCCTCTCTTCTTCACCCGAGCGGCCTGTTGTACTGAAAGAACGTGTGCCTGATTGTAGGCCTCCTTCTTCTGCGAGATAGGCTTCATGCCGAGGCGAATCGCGATCTCCTCCTTCAAGGGGTACATTGTGTGGCCAAGCCATTGGTGATCGCCGATCACATACTCCTCCTCGGATTTGTGGCCGTCATAGATGTTGAAGCCTAGGGGCATCGTGATCTTCCGGTTCTGTAGGTCTTCGGGAGATACAGGACAGTCCTCCCAGTCTTGGAGCGTGGCGTTGTAGCTGGTCTCTCGGCCAACCACGTGATGTCGAATCAGATACCCGCTCTGCACCGTCCAAACATCTTCCGTCTCACCCAACGTGAACTCGTTGGTCTCATCGTTGTAGATCCACCCACGAGGTAGAATGGATGCAATGCCAGATTGCCCAGGTCCCGGTGGGGCATCGCTCAAGGAAGAGAGCACAACCTCTGCCTGCTCGTCGCCCTTGTCTGACCTCCTTGGCGGTGTCCGGCTTCTGACCCTCCGTCTCGCGTGTTGCTGTTGTTGCCGAAGCCAGATGGTCTCCTGGAGCTGAACCCTCTTGTGGTTCATCATAGGGATCCTGCTCTGGCTCTGGGGAGTCCTGGCTCGACTTGTCTGCCGCCTCTTCTGCCTCATCTTCGCGTTCTGGAGATGGTTGTGGCGCTTGAGGGGCTGACGTGGGGCCTGCACTTGACGAAGCTTGATGCGACTGAAAATCAGCCTGAGAGTCAGTCTCATCGAGCGTACCGGGGGGAAAAAGGGGTTTGGGCTGTGGCTCCTCAGTGGGCTCCGCCTGCGCGTCGCCGACCTCTGGTCCCGGGCACTCCTCCACCGGTGCCAGAGGGGGCGGCGCGTCGCGCGAAGGTGCTTGAGTCCTCTGTCGAACTCGCCGTGCGTCATCGGGTGGCGGTGGTCCGTCGTCGCCGTCAACGTCTTCGTCTTCGTCCTCCGGGTTGATGTCCTCCAGACGCCGGACGTTGGCCTTGCGCAAATCCTGAATGCGCACAACTCCGCGTTGCCGAAGCTGATTGATTACCTCCATGGCCGCTTGCACGCCTCCAATGCGCCCGTCGGCCTGAAGCAACGGCTTGATGTGATGCCGTGCAGCTCGAAGAAGCACAGTACCATGAGCAATCCAGTAGGTGTCCACCTCGCCCGTGTCCGAACTCTTTTGAACCATCACCACCACAGCTGGTCCGCGCCATTTGATGGTGTGGAGCTTATCCCTCCAGTAAAGACACCGATCACCGGGTTGCAGCTCGGTCTCCTGACCTCTGTACTTCCTCAAAAGTGCTCGGGACAGCTTGGTGTCCGCCTCCGCCCGATTGCATGCCTCCCTGGCCTGCAACCGCTTTGCCAACATCTCCTGAAAATACTCTGAAGTGAGCTGAACCGGCTGGATTCGTTCCTCGGACAACAAACCTGGGATGGCCGGCTGGTAGCCCAGAACCAATTGCGTAGGCGTGAAGCCGCCGATGAAGGTCTGCTGATTGATGGTGGGCACAACCCACCCAAGTGCTTCCTTGACCTGTTCAGCCTGGGTGAAGCCATTCTCTTCCATGTAGATGGACATGGCCCGCCGCAGGATCTGATGTCTTCGCTCGGCCATTCCAATCCTGTTGTGTGCCTGACCAGGCGCGATACTGACCTCAATACCGTGGCCCTCTGCCCAGGAGATGAAGTCAGATGAGGCCCAGCCAGTGCCTTCATCTACCTTGAGCTGAAGCATAGGTCCATAGTGCCTGATCCACATCCTTTCGACCGCTTTGCTGAGAGCCTCTCCAGTTTCGTTCTGAATGACTCGGGATGCCATGTAACGGGTGCACTCGTCGATCATCGTGAGGATGGGAACCTTGACCGGCTTGGTTGTTGTAGCGTCGGGAACAGTGAACCACATAACGTCGGCCTGGATGCAGTGATTGAAGCTCTGCGCGGTGCTCAAGTTTGAAGGAGCCACTCCCTTGCGGGGCCGATGAGCTTCACAGTGAGGACACTGCAACTCTCGAACCGCCTTTGTCACATGCTCATTGGCTCCCTTGTCCTCCAGGATCTTGGCCAGGAAGTCATTCTTTGGATGGCCCAAGTTGCGATGCAGCCGGACAGCCATACGGGCTGCCTCGGATCCATGGGCTTTCGCAAGGTTCCGGAGAACTCCGGTGTGCCGGGAGACCTCTGCGTCTTCGACCGGATAAGCCTGGTCAGCAACATCCTCAACACCAACGATGGCCTCGCATAGTGCTTTTGCTAGCTGATGGGGGTAGTCCTCCGCTCGCTTCATATCCAGCAACACTTCCTTCCAGGCGCTGATGCTCGTGCGTGCCGTCACATCGCTTGCTCATGAGGTAAAACATCAGCTGCTTGGTGGTCTGGATCGACGTGGGCTTCTTGACATGCATGAAATTGCCGTGCTGATCAGGGGTCATGACTCCATATGCACACTGGTGAAAGGTGCTCCGGTGACCTGGGAGGGACTTGAGAGCAACCGTCTCCCACGCCTTGCTCGTTTGAGGATGCTCCAAATGGGCATGACGACCGCCTCGCACTTGCCGAAGATACACACGACGACAAAAACGCAGATGCACGTCGTGATCTTCCTGGCGTTTGGCCCGTAGTTGATCGGCTTGTTCCTGGGTCTTGACGTTGATGTTCTGCATAGGTGACCACAAGGTGCACTTCGGACTGAGAAAAATCTCGTCTGGCTCCTCGCGGTCCAGTCTGTCAAGGAAAACCTTCCTGTGAACAGCCTTGGAGAAGTCCCATCCAGTTGGCAGACCGAAAGCTTCCGCTTTAGCTCCACGAAGCCGCAGTGCCTGCGTCAGGTTTCCTTCTCCAGCGTAGAGCTCCCAGATGACTTTCTCGCTTGCAGGCTTCCCACTTCGCGCGTGATAGATCTGGCTGTAGGTCCGCTTCAGGCTGTAGTTGAGGCCGCACTCTGCGGTGTCTAAGAACCGCTGAGCAGCCTCGTTGACCAGCTCCTTCATTGAAGCATCCGTCTGCAGCAGGAACGTTGTCCGACCTTGCCAGGACTGATCTTGGTATTGCGGTGCTCCAACTGTACGCCAGTTGTCATGCTCAAAGTGGACTGCCTCGCCGTAGAGCGTCACCTCCGTGATGCGATGGTCGGAGAGCCTCTGCATAGAGACCGGACAGTCTTCCTCTGCAGGTACGTACTGAGTCGTCCGTGCTTGCAAATGATGTCGTATGAGCTTCTGTCCGTCATCTGTAGATTCCCACCAGTCGGCGCCGTTCACGTAGGTCACGAATTCGCCTGAGGAGGCGCTCTCAGGTGTCGACCGTTCAGGTTGTGGTAGCTCTTGATCCATCTCTTCGTAGCGCTGGTTAGCGTTGAGGTCCGTCAGAAACGTGGTGAGGGTAGAGATCTCGTCATGGTCGTCATCCTCGCTCACCAAATCAAACTGCACGTTCTCAAAGTCTGCGGCGCAGCTCGCCCCTTGAGCGATGTGGAACAGCATCACGCCACGCTTCCCGCGGCGAATAGGCTGCCACTCTCCGTCTCCGATCTTCATCTGCCATTTGCCGAAGTTCACCGCCACATCACTACTGGAAGCTGCACCATCCATCGGCTCACCCCGCTGTTGTCGCCACCGAAAACGAATTGCTTGTTACATCGTTTGAAGGGGATCTTTGTCATGTCAAAACCAATGGAGTGTAGCCACCGAAGGTACCGAAGGATGTACTCAGAGCCGGCCAGGAAGCTGGACGCTCCTCCGTCCTGAATACATGCATCAGGATCTCTTGAAATCCACTCATCGCCGTTGTGAAGAGCCATCGCGACGAAGTTGGCGTCGTCCAGGTCGATGGGTTTCCGCTTTGTGCCTTGCTGGCTGGCCTGGGGACAGTTCGCAGCCCAGTGACCAGCTTGTCCGCACCGGAGACATGTGTTTGAGGAAAGGGCATCCTTGCCTCGCTGCTTTGCCGTCGAACCTTTTCCCGGTTTGCCCTTTCGATCCTTTCCTTTTCCGCGACCGAAAGAGTCCGGGGTCCCTTGCCGCTGAGATCCTCCACCGTCCACAAGAGCGACTACCGGATAGAATCCTCGGTTGGTCCTCAACTGATTGACCCGCTTCTTCGCATCCGTGTAGGCCGCATAGACCTCGTCAAACTCGTCCGTGTTGAAGGGGGTTTCTCCGCCCTGCTCGGCTTTGTAGTAGTCCGCCGTGTCGTACTCATAGTCCTCGAACCAGCCGTCCGTGACATCGTGATCGCTCTGGTAGTAGGTGGGGCTGTAGTCGTAGGAGCTGCCACCCTCCGAATAGTCTTGCTGCCAACCTCCATGATCTGATGACCAATCCTGTTGATCATACTGCCAATTGCCAGAGCCATCATCCGGGTAGGACTCGGGCTCCTCCTCGGCGAAATGCACAGTATTCCGCCACCGCTTCTGATATCCACCATGTGCAGTAGTCGGCATTGGTGCACTGACAGCATGTCTGTGGTTCTGGCCCAAGATGAAGTACATGACCTCTTCCACCTTGGCGTGCTCCAGTGTGGTTCCGACCTGGGCCTGTACCATTTGTCGTTGCTCCCGAGTAAGACCTGCTCGTCTCATCAGGAGCCATCCGGTGACGGAGTCCGGGAGCTTGATCTTGAATTTCTCCATTTCTCGCATGGCCTGATTGGCCTCGGTCACATAGTCCAAAAGTGTCTGGCCCGACTTCCTGCTGATCTTGTAGAAGTAGTTCTCGAATGCGTTGGGCATCTCAATGCGCTCATCGTACTGCCACTGCTTGTCCAGGCGTTCGATGATGACATCGAAGCCATTCTCTTTCTCCAGCTCCTCCAGCGCGATGTCCTCGCATTGCCTCCATGATGTCCCTGTCAAGGATGACATCAGGTTGATGCCCAGCTCTTTGCCTTTGTTGGAGAGCTCCATGCGGCGCTTGTACAGCATAACTCGCTTCCGCCACTCCTTGTAGTCGGACTGCAAGTTCGTGAACTTGGGCACCGCCATGAAGTGCTCACCTGAGTTCGGGCCATCGGAAGTGGAAGCTGAACCTTTCCCGGCTGCTTCCGGCATGTTGTCGTGATTGGGCTCGTTAGCGTATGCCGGCTTTCACCGGCTCCGCTACCAGTATGAAATCGGTAGAGGCTGCGCACGAAGTCAGCCTGCTCGATGTTGTTTTCCTTCTCACGCCATTGCCATGGTCGAGTGACTCAAGGGCCCTAAAAGACAAGTAGGGCCGAGATGGCCAAATGCACGGAGTGTATTTCACAGAAAGAGACTAGGTCATCCAGTAGAGAGGTTAGAATAAGGGTACCCTTTTTTTCTGTAGAGGGGCGTGGACAGAAAGGAGACAGGGAGACAGAAAGCGACAGAGACACAGAGAGAGAGAGAGAGATAGAGAGAGAGACAGAGAGAGGGAGATTGAGGAGAGAGAGGCTTGGGGGGATGGGAAGGATGGGGAGCAGAGTGACGACAGAACACACGGGGGAGGAGACAAGAGAGAGAGAGGAAGAAGGAGAGACAAGGGAGAGGACAATGTCGGCGGACTGAGCCGGAGGCTCTAAAGTTTCCAGTAGTGACAAATTCCTTTTAAAACCAACAAGGGGAAATAAAACCTATTCTTAAGCAAATGGAAGGAATGCAACCTGTGGCAACCATTTGGGCTCACGTCTCACTGTAGCTCGCCTGGAGACCGGCCACGCCGCTGTTCAGGCCGCCGGCCACGCCACTGGCGCCCTCCTGACTTCAAAAAGCAAGCTGGTCACTCAGTCTTTCCCAGGCTCCATGTTGGTGGGAACCCACTGTGCCCCCCCCCCCCCCACACCTTTGACCTCCGCTGTGCCTCGCGGATTGCAGGCCAAAGAAACATGTTGCGGGCCGAAGGCTCGCTTGACCTTGCCTGGAGGCCGGCCACGCCGTTGTTCAGGCCGTTTGCCAGGCTGGCGGCAGTGCCGCTAGCGCCCTCCTGATCACTTGGACGGTCAACTCCCATCGCTGTCTTCGATGTAAGGCGGTCGGCAAGTTCCAGCCCTCTGTGGGCGGATCAGCAAAACATCAATCTTTTTTTTGCGTTGTGCCCAGTAGTCAAATCAACAGACCTAACACATCTACAACCAACAGTGTGGAACATGTAAGCAGTGCAACGGAACTTGCAGCGGCCGGTTGGCTGCTGGCAGATTCAAGGCTTCGAGTTCCTCTTGAGCTGTGACAACCTGAATAGAACTGCATCGATTTCACATCACCTGCCACCTAAAACACCACTTGGTGGAACTACTTTGATTTCACATCGCTGGGCACCCAAAATAGCCCTTGACAGACTTGCGCTGATTTCACATCGCCACCCAAATACACCCTAGATAGAATTGCTTTGACTTCACATCGCATGCTATCCAAATGAGCCCTTGGTAGACTTGCTTTAATCTCACATCGCCTTCGAAAGTGTTCCACTTGCAAAAGAACACTAACCCGCCCAAAGCTATTACAAGATCTGCTGCCATGCATGATTGAAGGCACCCGCCCGGTTGAGGGGAGCCTGCTTTCCAACCGCACGTCTGTTCACTGACCTCCGCTTTACCTTGCGGGATTGTATCAAGCGGAAGGTGAGCGACCTCAACATTCTTTCCCAGGTTCCATGTTGGGAGGCAAAAACACCAACCATGTTTTTCGCGTTTGCCCAGTCAAATCAACAGACACATCTTCAACCCCGAAAGAACACCCTGAGCCCACTGACAATGTCGCACAGAAAAAGACAGGACCGCATCTCACAAAAGAAACACCCCAAGCGCATGGAAACCACACGAAAGCAGCAAATCCCACCCCGCCCCAACGTCTGGCAGAAAACTCACCCCGAGCCCACAGACAACGTCTCGCAAACAAGAGACCCCGAGCCCACAAACAACAACAACACGTAACAGAAGAAGCACCTCGAACCCACCGACGACCTCTCACAGAAAACACAAAACAAAAACACACACACACACCCTGAGCCCACGGACAACATTTGGCAGCAAAGCACCCCGAGCCCACGGCCAACAGAAACAAGCACCCCGAACCCACAGACAATATCTGCCAGAAAAAAAAAACATAGCGAAAGGGAAGGTATTATTTCAACTGTCTTCCCAGTTTCCATTTTGGTGAAAGCCCTCTGTTCAGGTCAGACAAGTCGCCGTTTGCGTGCGTTTAATCCTTAGACACCACAAACAAAAGCAAAGCAACACAACAGATCTAAAGCAAAGGGACATATATATATATATATATACGTATATAATATATATATATATATTTATGAGTCAGGGCTCGACAAAGTTTCTCGTTTCCCCAAAAATAGCATGGGGGAAACGGGGGTTGTAGGCCTCTTTCTTGTGCGAACATGTACACACCTCCTTTGGTGATATTTGTGTCGTCCCTGGGTTTCCATCTTAGTGTAAAGACATGTTGCACTCCTTAACTGTTGGTCTTGTCCTCTTCAAGCCAACGTGGAAACAGTAGACAACCTTTATTGGACAATTTTCAAGCCTATGCCCAGGCTTTAGATCTTTTTCTAGGTTTTTTCTGCCACTTTCCGACTCGCTGGAGCATTTCCGTCTTTCGGGTTCCTTTTCTGGGGGTCGGGGGCTAAAGGGAAGGACAAGCCACCCCTTTGCGACTCCGTTTTGAGACAGCAAACTAAGACTAGGTCCTCCAGTAGAGAGGTTAAAATAAGGGTACCACCTTTTTCTGTAGTCTATTTTAGTAGGGGAACCGAATCTCCCCCACAAAAGGGGGAGGAGAGCACTACTGGGGGACCTAGATCTTTTGATACAGGTCCACAAGGTTGCTCCCAAGATCTCGGCACTTTTGTATCCGGCCTCATCGAGTTCAGAGCAAGCCTCTTGGCTGTGAATTTTAATTGGGGACCCTTGTTGGACATTACACTTGGTGGGGATTCATGTCCAACAATCCACCAACTTGAGGTGATTTCGTGTGAGTTGCCAGAAAGCCTTGCAGCAAAACAGGCAGAGATCAGACACATGAAGTGCAAAGAACGAGAGGCATGTGGAACAATCATGATAAACACGTGAACTATTTGAACCAATGTGAACGCCTATGAGCATGGCTCCTATTCATCTCGGTGTGTGGGTTTTTGCGGGGAACCCGCCTGTCTTTTAGCGATTTTCAAGGGACATCAGCCACCATTCCACCGGTAACGTCCAATTTCATTCTGAATCCAGGGACCCTTCTTTCTAGAAAACCACCAAAAACCCTGGGGAAATGCCGATCGGTTTTGAAAAGAACGATGGCTGAAAAGAATGGAAAAGGAATCAACCTCTAGGGAGATGGCTGGTTTCCTTTGGGGTGTCCCTTTAAAACCACCCCCAAAAAAGGGGTCATCCTCAAAAAGGGTCTGAACCCTTAGAATCAACCCCCAGAACCATGGCCTGACCAGAGGCCCCCCCTCCCGTCATATCGTCCGTCCTGGATGCCTGCTGCGACGCCTGCGGCGGTCTTGGCGGCATCAGTCAGGATGGTGGCGTCCTGGCAGCCAGGGCTTGCTTTCTCTTCCCAAATGAACCTGTGTGACTGTGGCTGTGGTTGTCAAAATCAATGGGATCCCATTTTGGCTTCATTTGAGTGGGGATTGGGATCTTCACGGGGGGTACGGGCTTTTGACCCGTGGCCATGTGAGTGTTTCTCTAAGTCGGCGTGTCGCAAGATAGGAACCGGACCCCGCCCAAAATGCTTGGTTATCTTTTTTGGCAGCCCTACCAAAAAGGGATCCTAACTCCAAGAAAAGGAAACCAAGTGGCGAAAGCGAGCTTGTTGCAAAGGGAAGCCAACCAGGGAAACTCGGCATAGCGGACTTAGAGGACCACGAGTCTGAGGTTACGGCTTCACGCGCGACCCACGCTTTTCGCGCTTTCACGGCCTTCTTTTTTCCCACATGTTTTGCACGCGAGCACATGATAAGCACACCCGCTCACGCGCATCACGTCAGGGCTGATTCCTAGTGTTGGCTGACGATGTGCTTCATGGCGCTCTTTCCCAGCCATCATTGTCGCACAATTGATGACACGCAACTGAGCGAGACCAAAGGGGCCGGCTCGCGCATGTTTGCCAGTCCTATGTATTAATTGACATATATCTAGGGGAGACTCTTTGGTCGGGAGCGAAGCCTTTGCCTAGTTTGAGAACCCCCTCAGTTGCCCAAAGGACCCAGAAATATGCAGGTCAACTTTTGGGTGCCATGAGGAAACATGCACAAGCATTGAGGAAAACCCAAAGGCCATTTCAGGTCGAGTCGCTTTGGGCCGACCTTCGCCCTACAAAAGTACCTCTTTGAACATCACCGCAAGCCGGCCTCACTTCCAAGGGCCCACACGCTGATACCCTCCCACCGACTAACATGCAGGTGAACAGAGCACTGTGGAAAAACTACAAAACTCGAGGAAAGGGGCTTTGTGAACTTCTATGCCAGTTGCTGGTAGGGCACTTAAAACATCCCCCTACTCAAAAAACCCGCTTCCTTCAGGGTCCTCTTGGGAAAACCGATCGGTTTTCCATGGTAAATACCAAACCTTTTTTCCGTAGAGGGTCGACATGATACCCTGAAAAAGGGCCGGTTTATGTGGGGAGGGGGAGGTCACGGCCCTCGACATGCTCCCAAACACCACGATCGGCGCCTGGAAAGGGGATCTGGGGCCATCGACTTGTCAGCTTGGTTCTCAAGAGGCATCGAAAAATCGACTCCCCCACGAAAAAATGGTCGTACGAATCCAAACCCAGCAAAACGCATCCATCCACAAGCCAACGCACCCAAAACGGGGATCCCATGTGAACTGTTCTTTCAGTCGCATCCAACGGAGATCCATTTCACAGGCTCGTAGCTCAACACCTGTGAGCAGGTTTTTGTTTTTTGGATATAGCTTCCGCCCATTTCTACCTTACCATTCCAGGAAAATGTATGGAAGCAAACACATCAGAGAGACACCCTTCCATACGCTCAGGGTTTTGTGGTGGAGAGTTCGGTGGCTTGGACTAAAACGGCGCCATCATGCGCCATCCCTGTTCTTGCGAAGCCGCTTTGACCACGTCGACCAGTCCGCTCCCTTGCAATGCAATTCTTGCTGAATCAAGCTGCCGAGCTTGCGGACCGCCTGGACATGACTTTTCCCGAGTGGACCCCCAAATGAGTCATTATCAAAGCCCGGTATCCAAATGGTCGTAAGCCCAGAACCATGCTTCAAGAATTAAGAAGGCGGATATCCGCAGCCATTTATGGCAGGGGATTGTCCCTTGCTAACCTTCATCTACCCGGGTTTTGATTGGGGCTCAGATGGGCTTTTTTTCAGGATTTGGACCCCCAACATGGCGAAGCTTTGTTTTCCTTTTGCATTTCCTCTACCACAAAAAGGTGCACCAACTCCCAAAAAACGAGCCACCCCGGTGCCCATGGGCAAAACGACACCCAAATGCTAAGAACCGGCAAAACAGGGAGAACTCCGCCGGGGCTTTTGGCCCAAAACTGTTGGCTTGCATTTTCAAAGGGACCTGAAAGGAGGTTTAATATGTGAAACAAGTCTTGGCTTGCCAGCTTTTTCTGGGCAAACTATCATAATTTTCCAACCGAAAGTAATGGAACCCTATGAAAGACATCTTCCTGAGCGACGCTGCAATCCTCCCAAGGTGACGTTGCTTTACCCCAACAGGGCTACAGCACCCACTCCCCCCCAAAAAAAAAAGAAAAAGAAGGCCATCCTCCTATACCCAACAGGGCTACAGCACCCACTCCCCCCCCAAAAAAAAAGAAAAAGAAGGCCATCCTCCTATACCCAACAGGGCTACAGCACCCACTACCCCCCTCCCCCCCAAAAAAAAACAAGCGCGCCGCCCAGTCCTGACATCCCTTGGGCCCAGAGAAGGCTTTGGGGTCCGCTTCCGTGCCCACGTCCGTCTTGCTGAAGAGGTAGCAGGCGCCGTTCGTGGGAGCGCTGTCCCCCTTGAAGGAGAACCACTGGCAGGTGGGGTTGGTCTCACAGCTCCTGGGCCCCAACTCTTCGAGTGGATCTGAGGGGTTTTGTGTTACACCCTGGGAGTACACCCTTGGGAAATGACCCAGAATGGCTCAACAGAACCAAGTTTATCCGGAAACGTGCCTAAATGAAATCAATACCCAGTGGGCGTGTTCCCAGGGTGCGAAACAGAAACCCTGAGAGTAGACCCTTTTGGAGGCTTCAAAACGAAACAAGGACGCTGATGTTGGGTGTTTCTAGGAACACCTTCCAATTCCATTCTTTCCAGGGATCCTTCATTCTTTCTAGAAAACCTCCGGAATCCCAGTGAAAACGGCTGGTTCTTGAAAATAACGATGGTTGAAAAGAATGGAAAATAAATCAACCCCTGGAGAGTTGACCTATTTCGAGACAATCCTACGTCCAGCGTGGGTATTCTTGACTTGATGTGAAATATGTACGGATACGCTGGGCTTACAAGAAAAACACTCTCAGCGCTTACGAGGATTCCGGGCCATTACAAGAGGGCCAAGGCCCATCCAGGGGATTGGCAACTTCCACAGGCCGGAAGGATCACGGGGTGCATTTCAACCCCATCCCGGCCGACCAACTCTCGGTTGCGAAATCTGCTCCCCTGCGAAAATACTTAAACTTTTAGTGGTTTAATAGGAAAATCTGTTTCTTTTTCGTTGGCGACAAGTCAAAGTCCTAACATCCCCGGGCAAAATGCACGAAAGCACTCAGCGCATCGAAGTCTTCACCGCCCGAAGAATTGGTTGGGGTCTACGGCGGCATTTGCCCTATTTTTGGGGATCCGGACTACAGAAACCAGGTGATTCATAGGGTCTGTGTTTTTTCTCTGTGCGCGCTTCTGTGTCCCGGAAATGCACATGAAACTCTGTGTCTCATGAACATCGCTCTTGTGAATCCCACACTACCAAAAGCAATCCACTTTCTTACAATGGGGTGATATTTGGACAGGGGAAGCTGAACTGAACTTTGTCCACCCCTCTCAAACATCGGAGCTGTTCTTTTCCTCCATTTGCTTAAGTCCTCTGGAAAAAAATGCTCCAGTAGTGATAGATTACCTTTAAAACCAACAGGGGAAAATCACACATATTCTTCACCAAATGGAAGTTTTTGGTCCCCCTTCAAACCGACCTGGAACCGCTTGGGGACAAGCTGCAAAGGGTGCCCTCTGGCGTCGGAAGCGTCCAACTGGCCGAAATCTGCTTTTCTGATCGCCTACAAGTGACGAACACACTTCGTGGGATAAATTCGGACACCCAACCACCTTTCACCAACTAAGAACAGCCACAAACTAAGTACGACTGAAAACCCCAGTTGAACCGGAGGCTTCGCGAGCCCTTCAACCTTTGTAGAGGCTATGGGGAAACCCTCCGCTTCACCCAACCTCCGGCTCCCAAGCCACCGGAAAAACGAAAAAACAGCCGTGGATTCCCGCCGTGTCGCCGAAAACCCCACCGCTCCCAAGCCGCCGAGAAAAGAAAAAAAACGGAAAAAAACAACAAAACCACAAAAAAGACAAAAAAAACAAAAAACAAAAAACCTCCGTGGGTCCCGGCGCCCCGCGAAAGCTCCGAGGGCCTCCCGAAAAGCCTCCGAGGCGCTTCTGGCACTCGCTCCAGGTCTTGAAGTACAACGAGGGCAGCGGCGCTGAAGGGTCCTCACGGAGTCATGGCGCATGGCGCAGATTCGGCTCCAAAGCGACGGGAGAGCTTGGACGTCCTAAGAACCCCAGAAAACACGCGGCGGCCGGGAATGGGGTGGATGTTGGCAGGAACAGGTTTTTTCTTTTTCATTTTCTCGTTTTTTTTTGGGGGGGGGGGAAGTAGGGGTGTGTGGTCTAATAAGGGTTCAGGCTCGAGGAACCGACTTATGGAATTTTGGGAGGAGTTGACAGACCAAGGGAATCCCTCAGCTTCCGAATTGGTGATTTGGAGCACGGTTTGGACTTGGAGATGAGGTTGGGTGGGAAACCCCGTTGACCCTCTACAAGAACCAAAAAAACCGTTAATATCAAAATCCAAACCACCAATTGGGGCCAACCTGAACCCCTCCCAAAAACATGGAAACCAACCAACCAACCAGACAGGCAAGCAAGATCAAGCACGATCAAGCAAGATCAATCAAGAACAATCAATCAATCAATCAATCAATCAATCAATCAATCAATCAATCAATCAATCAATCAAATGAATCAATCAATCAATCAATCAAGCAAGCAATCAAGCAAGCAAGCAAGCACACAAACAAACACAAATCCAACACACAACAACACAAAACAACACAAAACCAAGCAAAGCAAGAAAGACACAAGCAAACAAATAAAAACAATAACACAAACAAACAAACAAACAAACAAACAACCAAACCAACCAACCAAACAAACAAACAAACAAACAAACAAACACACACACACAAACAAACAAACAAACAAACAAACTGTGATTCGGGCACGAGCCTGTGCCCAGGCAATGGGTAAGTTGGGGTAAAGAAGCCACAAAAGAAAGGTTCCCCAAAACAAACCAATCCCCGGTCCCAAAGATCAGGGTTTCCCACACACAAGAGAACAACAACCAAAGGAAAACAAACCAAACAAGAAAAGGGTTAACCCGCAACCTTGGTCGACAACAGGCCGCACGACTGGTCCCTACCAACCTGGCGGCGGCCCGAGGTCTCTTTCCCCGAGATGCCGTCGATCGACGCAGGGGTTCGGCGACGCCCATTCGAGGCGCGACGGAACCCAAAACTTGAGCCAAAACACCACAGGTCGGTCACTAACGCGACGTCCCTGATGATGATATGAACCATGGCTAATCACACCCCCCTCACGAGGAGCCCGTCATATGACGGGTGGAGCGTGCCATTTACTGATAGGATTTAACTGCTCGCATGCGTCCGCAAACAGCTGGACACTACCGCCGTCAGCGGTGGAGCAAACCCACAAAGGCAGTTGCGCGACATCCCGGGCATTAAATTCCCGCCACCACCCCGAATTAATCGGGGTAACGCTGTCCAACATACCTTGTGGAAAGGTCCACATGACGACACTAGGTCACAACTGTTTGCATCAACAATGCAAGAAGTTTAATTCTTATCAGAAGCCATGAAAAAAAGATAACGTATGTCCATTAGTACCCTCGCCTAACGGCAAGAGGTACCCCTGACCATGCGTACCTGAAAAATGCTTGAATTCCGCAAACCCGGGAGTAACCCCCCATCAGTTTGCTTTCCCTCTCACTCACACTGCTTCCGGATGAACACGTCCAGCAGCTCAGCAGCGGTACGGGAGAGACATGACCTCCGCGCCTCAGCGGTCCGGGAGGAACATCACCACCTCCACACCGCGCCGACCATTGGAGAATGGACGCAAGCCTATCGGCCGCAATCCCCGTGACTCAGCCTACCGGCTATCGTCACGTCTCCTCCGGTCACGCCCGCCCCGCGCACGGTCCCTATCACGATCCCTTTCGGATCTCCTGCGATCATCTCGCCTTCGATCTCGCTCCCGATCGAGTGAATCATCATCACGACGATCACGAGCATCGTCCCTCCTCCTGTCGCGATCATCCTCGCGCCGCGGACGGTATCTGCGCCTCCTCGACTCTCTGGAATCCCTGGTGTCCACGGTCCTAACGGACCTCCGAGAAGGAGTACGGGAAACATCCGATTCCCTACGCCTCCTCCCAGATCGAGAGTTCGTCACGATCTGGTTGAGAGCCTCCAGTGCCGACGCGTCCTCACCATTTCTGATGAAATCCCTGACCTGCTTGTTCAGCACTCTGTTGGTGGAGATCGACAAGAAAGCGTCCACCACCGAACTCTCAGGCAGCACCAGGAAGTGACCCTCCACCGGGCTCGCCGCAGCCCGCTCAGCAGACTGCAGCCGGATCTCCCCGCCTTCAGGCTTCTTTGCCATCGCCTTGGAGGCCGTCAAAGGCGCTACCGCATCCTTTGCCGAAGATCTGCCAAGCGCGGAGTGAAGATCATCCCCACTAGCTTCTCTCGCTGCCGCACCTGGTCTGCTGTCGACGTCGCCAGGCCTCGTGGACGCCTCCCGCTTTGTCGACTCCTTCCCAGCCTCGTCGGGATCCCAACGGGATTTCCTTTCTCTCTTCTGCCCTTCGGCCGACCCGCGGCTACCGCCAGGAGCGTCACCTCCGCCTATTTTCTCCTTCTTGACCTCAACCTTCGGTTCGGCCTGCTTCGTCTCCTTAGCCACAGCTTTTGGAGCCGGAGCATTCTTCGCCTCAGATGCTGAAGCAGCCTTCCCTCTCGGCTCGGCCTTAGGAACCGGGGTCATTTTAGCCTTTGCACTCGGCCTGGCCCCTTCAACCACCATCTCGGCCCAAGATTTCTTCGGCTGAGCTGCTGCTGTATCAACCTCCATCGGAGCAGGTCCAGCATCATCCTTCGCCTTTGGGACAGATGGGCTACCGCCCTTACCAGATCCTTTACCTGGCACTTCACCTGACTTTGGTGGTGGGCCGGAAGGACTACCGCCCTTACCGCCCTTTTCCCCCTTCTTCCCTTTTCCTTTTCCGCCCTTGGCGACCGGCTCCTGCTTGGGACCAGGACCCGGCGCAGCATGATGCACCGATTGAAGTCCCTCGATGTCCACGTTCAATGGTTCGGGTTGACGACCATCAAGAACCGTCCTCACCCTTTCGTCACTAACGTAGACGAACGGGTCACGGAAGGGTGCGGGAGGCTCCGACTGTCCGGCGTTGATCGCCTTCTGCACCTTGGCTATCGCCTCCTTCAACCTCTTCTTCTCATCGTACCCTGTCTCCGATACCATGTACTGCCTGAGCTGCGAAATCAACGCATGACTTTCCAGGATGTCCACGTCCTTTCGATGGGTCGGATACAATGGGGTCAGATGACCAGCCGCGGAGCCAATCACGTATGCCATCGGAATATAGAAGGACAAGTACGTGTCATGGCGAGCGAACTTCCTAACGGAAGTCGTCATACGCCTACCCCATTGAGCAGCGTGCCTTGGGTTAGCCCGGAAGTACTCCGTGACCGACTCAAATCTATCGACTTGGTTGGTCAGAATCAGGTGCTTCGCCACCCACTTCTCCACGAACGCATCCGATGCCGAAATCCCCGACACATAGGAGAATTGGAAGAGCACCTTCGCCAGCTCATCCCACGCCGCATCGACTCCTCCCTTGTCCTCACCAAGATAAGGGGGCAGTCTGATTCCGCTCTGCACCGTCATCCTCAGATCAGATGCCATTGAATAGGAAATCAAGTTCCTCTTGATGACTCCGACCACTTCGGTGGGGATCCTCTTGGGCTTGAACTGTCCCATGGTCCTCACCCACTCCGGTACAATGCGGCACCTCTCGAAGTCTTTCTCCTCCGCGTTGGGGATAAAGTTCGGGTAGAAAACCGGGAGCGCGCATCCAGGACACAAATGCATCCCATTTGGCGTCATCTCCGCGCACCTCAAACAGAACGTGGTAGTCACATTCAATCTGACCTCTTCCCGCGATCGCCTGTGCTCTCCCCTAACGGGGGTGAAGTCACCATAGTCCCATGCCCGATGGTACACTATCGTGTAATCATCGTACATGTAGGCCGCCTTCCAAGCTCCCATGTGGATCTCGTTCCTAACGGCCAGAGTCTTCCTTCTTGTCAAAAACACGGGTCCAACCAAGGACCAGTGCACCCGAAGATCCACCATTACCACCACGTACCTACCGGAGTAGTTCCGCAGCCTGTCCCTGACATACCACGAAGGCGATACCTCGGCATCCGGCGCCATGGCTCCCACAAGTGGGATCAGGCCCTCATCCTGCCTACCATTCCCAATGGTCTCGTACACATCGGGCCTCGTGATCAATATCTCGATCATGGCCTTTCCATTTCGCCTTACCCTTTGGAGCTGAACCGCCTTCCGAAAGTCCGAGAACTTCATGATGACGTACCCCACCATGGGGAGTTCATTCCAATGCATCTCATACATCAGAGATCCGCCAGGTGCATCTTCCTGAGTGTACCTATGCCTAACGGCACTGTAACTCATGTCGCGTTGATCTGCGTGTGCCTAACGGCAACCAACCTGGTGCTCTCTTTGAGGAGAACGCCATTCCCGTCGTACATGACCATGAGCATCGCCTCAACTTGCCCTATCGGGAAAGCTTTGACCATGCCCGAGATCTCCTTCAGGAACCAGATGGCCTGGTCACTTTTCACCCAGTTTCCAGCCTCGCGTCCGGTCTCCTTCAGCACACGTTCCTCGAATAACTCCGAGACTCTCTTTGAATTGATGACCAAACCGTCGAAATCGCACGAGAGCAGTCTCATCAACTCCTTCGCCGCCTCCCGTCCTGCAACGGTGCCCACGGTCTCCTCGTAGTTCGGGAGGTATTCGCCCAACCTCGTCTTCGAGGGAACCACAATCTGGCAAGTGACGGCCTCATCAGGGATAACTCCCGTCTCCCTCAACTCTGGATTGATCTCTCGCCTATCGGCAAGATAATCCTTCTTCCCATCCAGTATCACAAGATTGTAGGTCATCTTGCTCGCCGCCTCACTAGGCCTGAACTTCCTGCTATCATCCAGCTGGTCAGGAGCAAAGGGTCCACTAGGGCAGCTGCACTCACCAGAGGCGCTCCTCGCCCAGAGCAGAGGTGCTTCTTGTGAAAGTTC